CTATGCAAAGCGATTGAAAGGAGGCGGACGAAAGACGGATTAGAAGGACCAAATTCACTGTTTCAAAACCGATGGAGCTGTCCCAGGAGGTGCCAACAAGCTTTGGAAAGCTAGAAACGATGCTTTCTTGAACTTAATGAACAATCTTGATCTTTGAAAGGATGACGAGGACATTCACGATGATTCGGAAGCGTCGATTGAATTAAACACTACTCCTGGAAATGAACGGACGTCTGCTAGCCTTGCCGAAACCGAAGAACTTCTCCAGGGAATGGAATTCAATGATCTGGATACCAATGAAAGCATGGATGATAACGTTTTAAATTTGATTTACTGTTGTTGTTATTTTTTGTATTTATTGCTTTACTTATTCAATTATTTATGAATCAAACGTTAAAAATATTTGTTGTATTTGGAATCTTTGGTTATTACCATTTTTATTTTGATGTGGTTTGAATCACAACTTTATAAAATATACGTACATGCTCTATTAGATGTACATGCTCTAACAGACATGCTCTAATAGTACACTCTAAAGGGTACTTGAAAAATAGACGTACATTTACGTATATTAGAAGTTTTATGGTATAGATTAATTGGTAAATTTGTTGTTGTTGTTTGTTTGTTGTTTGTTTGTTGTTTGTTTGTTGTTTGTTTGTTGTTTGTTTGTTGTTTGTTTGTTGTTTGTTTGTTGTTTGTTTGTTGTTTGTTTGTTGTTTGTTTGTTGTTTGTTTGTTGTTTGTTTGTTGTTTGTTTGTTGTTTGTTTGTTGTTTGTTTGTTGTTTGTTTGTTGTTTGTTTGTTGTTTGTTTGTTGTTTGTTTGTTGTTTGTTTGTTGTTTGTTTGTTGTTTGTTTGTTGTTTGTTTGTTGTTTGTTTGTTGTTTGTTTGTTGTTTGTTTGTTGTTTGTTTGTTGTTTGTTTGTTGTTTGTTTGTTGTTTGTTTGTTGTTTGTTTGTTGTTTGTTTGTTGTTTGTTTGTTGTTTGTTTGTTGTTTGTTTGTTGTTTGTTTGTTGTTTGTTTGTTGTTTGTTTGTTGTTTGTTTGTTGTTTGTTTGTTGTTTGTTTGTTGTTTGTTTGTTGTTTGTTTGTTGTTTGTTTGTTGTTTGTTTGTTGTTTGTTTGTTGTTTGTTTGTTGTTTGTTTGTTGTTTGTTTGTTGTTTGTTTGTTGTTTGTTTGTTGTTTGTTTGTTGTTTGTTTGTTGTTTGTTTGTTGTTTGTTTGTTGTTTGTTTGTTGTTTGTTTGTTGTTTGTTTGTTGTTTGTTTGTTGTTTGTTTGTTGTTTGTTTGTTGTTTGTTTGTTGTTTGTTTGTTGTTTGTTTGTTGTTTGTTTGTTGTTTGTTTGTTGTTTGTTTGTTGTTTGTTTGTTGTTTGTTTGTTGTTTGTTTGTTGTTTGTTTGTTGTTTGTTTGTTGTTTGTTTGTTGTTTGTTTGTTGTTTGTTTGTTGTTTGTTTGTTGTTTGTTTGTTGTTTGTTTGTTGTTTGTTTGTTGTTTGTTTGTTGTTTGTTTGTTGTTTGTTTGTTGTTTGTTTGTTGTTTGTTTGTTGTTTGTTTGTTGTTTGTTTGTTGTTTGTTTGTTGTTTGTTTGTTGTTTGTTTGTTGTTTGTTTGTTGTTTGTTTGTTGTTTGTTTGTTGTTTGTTTGTTGTTTGTTTGTTGTTGTTTTTCAACGGAAGTATAAAAAGAAATGAAAAGAATTACTCACAAACTTAATAGAACGAAAAAATGATTTGGGAGAGGTTCGTGTCCGATTTTTGACCAGAATCTAGTGATTTGAATGGAAATGAAGAACAGAGTCAAAGTGTAAAAGCCGGATTGGAAAGTTCAAAGCTTTAATGAGAAAGCAAATGATCAATGAAATGACCAATGAAATTAATTATCATGGAAAATGTTCAAGCTTCTAAAATCTTGATTGAAAGATGAATCTCTGATTCTCAACTTCAGAAGCAAGGTCTCGAATCAGTTTACTGGGGATTTCGGCCAAAAACCTACTTATTTCAGCCTTTTACTTCAGCCTTTTACTTCAGCCACTAACTTTAGAGTTCAACTTTAAGATATGTACAACTCTAGGATATCATTTTATTCATAATTCCCTTATCCACTCAAAAATGTTCCTCTACCTTCACTTTTCTCACTTCTATTCTCTTCTTTCAGGTGAGTCGAAGACCAATAAAATGGCGTCAGAAATGAGTACGCAAGAGTATCCAGAAATATCTCCTTTCTCACTCATTTTTTTCTTTTCCCCTCGAAATCCATTTCAATTATTTTATTTATTTTCTTGGTACGACATTTATTTTCTTAGCACGACAAGGAAAATTCATGTTTCCTCCGCCTGTTTTCTGAGATCTTTTCTCGGGCAATTTTCGACGCATTGTACCATTGATGACGGAGGAAAATACAGAAAATTTTCAAATATTCGAGAATTGAATTCATTCAGCGGGTGAGGCTGGGTGGTTAACCTTATAATGGAAATTATTTTTAGACACAAAAAGAGATTAGAGAGCTAAATATAGATAAGGATAAAAGTACTAGCAAAAGGTTAAACAAATAATAAACTTTGTCGAAGACAAAAACGACTTTGACGACATTTCGATCTTCTTGGCCCTGTAAAAGAAGGAGTTGGTTTTTCGAAGGATTCAAAAAGAGATATTTGAATGTGAATGACAAACAAATATTTGGCAAAAAGTTCATAAAGCTATGAGTAGGTGATTAGAACAAATGTTGGCTTTATTAAGCCGATATTTGTTGGCTTTTTGCATAAATCCTGCTGTTCTGAGTGTTCAAATTCTGCTCGATGGTGAACACCTTCTCGTCAGTAAAAAGGATGTTTCAGTGATCGATGCCGTTGAATCGTTGCATCAGATTTTTTGATCAATCTTCGTGCTTCTTCGTGCTTCTTTTTGGCATCGATTGTGAAAAATTAGGCTTTCGAAAACTTGTAGGCTTTGATGTTCAAATGTTTTTTCACGAGTCGACTCATTGATTCTTTGGAAATCTTCAATTTCTTGGCCATTTGTCGTTGAGATTGCATCGGGTTGTATCGGAGCTTTTCGCGAGCCTCTTGATATTCTTTGTTGTGACGGTAGCTTTTCGGCAGATCGATCGGAAGTTGTTTCAAGATAATTATGTCGACGAATTGTCTCAGAAAAGATCGATTTCGCCATCATCAACCTTCGAGAAATCTCAATTAGCCGAAAACCCCTCCGAAAAAAGCTCGATAATCGAATCTCGATGAGTAGATTTGTTCACCATAACTGAAAAAATTAATTTTAAGGAGTAAATAACATTTTTGAAAGTCAAAATCCGCATAATAAACAAAAAGTAGCAAAGATAGTCAATCCAAAAGCACATAAGAGCATAAGCGAATTCGGATTTGGACGCTAGTTCAGGTTCGGTCGCCAGTTCGGATTCGGTCGCTGGTTTGGATTCGGTGGCTAGTTCCGGTTCGGTTGCTAGTTCGGATACGGAAGCTAGTTCGGATTTGAACGCTAGTTCAGGTTCGGTCGCTAGTTCAGGTTCGGTCGCTAGTTCGGATTTGGACGCTAGTTCGGATTTGGACGCTAGTTCAGGTTCGGTCGTTAGTCCAGGTTCGGTCGCTAGTTCAGGTTCGGTCGCTAGTTCGGATTTGGACGCTCGTTCGGATTTGGACGCTAGTTCAGGTTCGGTCGTTAGTCCAGGTTCGGTCGCTAGTTCAGGTTCGGGCGCTAGTTCGGATTTGGACGCTAGTTCGGATTTGGACGCTAGTTCAGGTTCGGTCGCTAGTTCGGATACGGAAGCTAGTTCGGATTTGAACGCTAGTTCAGGTTCGGTCGCTAGTTCAGGTTCGGTCGCTAGTTCGGATTTGGACGCTAGTTCGGATTTGGACGCTAGTTCAGGTTCGGTCGTTAGTCCAGGTTCGGTCGCTAGTTCAGGTTCGGGCGCTAGTTCGGATTTGGACGCTAGTTCGGATTTGGACGCTAGTTCAGGTTCGGTCGCTAGTTCGGATACGGAAGCTAGTTCGGATTTGAACGCTAGTTCAGGTTCGGTCGCTAGTTCAGGTTCGGTCGCTAGTTCGGATTTGGACGCTAGTTCGGATTTGGACGCTAGTTCAGGTTCGGTCGTTAGTCCAGGTTCGGTCGCTAGTTCAGGTTCGGTCGCTAGTTCGGATTTGGACGCTAGTTCAGGTTCGTGCGTAACCTACACACTGGTTTTAAACTATTTTAGACTCATTTGCAAAGTTTTAAGACGATTGGTTAAGTTCTTCCTGATTAAACACAAAAAAACGCAACGATGTACGAATCCCTTTGAGCGCTAATGTATATTAAGCCCCTCTGATCATAGTTCGAAGCAACTTCCCGAAAAAAGCGCGCTCCAATTTCCAACTCCTGTAGTTACGTTGAAACGTTTTTTCTCGATCAAAAATTGCATTGAAAATTGAAGGAAATGCGACCTTTTTCCTTTTTCTCTGTACATTTTCGAAATTACCGTCAACTTTAAGTACAAAACGGAAGTACAAAACGTCGTGGACACTACAAATTCAGACGGAATCAAAAAGAACCAAAAATTTCTCCAGTTTCTTTTGCTAATTGCAATTATTTTTAACTAACTACATCAAGAACTACTAACTACATCTACTAACTACATCAAGAATGCTCAAATTCATTCACAAAGTGTTTCAGAAAGATTCTAATTTTTCAAATCTTGATTGAAATTGAATTGATGAACATGTGAATTAATTGAAATTCAAAATTTAATTTCAAATGATTACTCATTTTAGTCATTTCAAATGACTAAAAGGCAACAAATCAACGTTTGTGAGGTAATTTTATTCTTTCAGAAAAGTTTAATGAAAAAAAATGAGTCAAAATTTGAAAAGTACAAAAACAGCAAAAAAAATTCCAAGAGATTCAATAAAATCTGTGTTTTAGACTACGCTTTTCTAGACTAGAACAATGAAAATTTCATCAATTGACAATAAAAGCTTGACCTAAGGTCATTCGAGTAATGAAAAAGACGTAATATTCTCTCAGAACTCGTCGGGTCCATCATAAAAAGTATGCCATGATGTTTGTGAGCAATCACTCGGCCAGAAGTCTAAATTTGGGAGCCAATTGAAAGGAAAGAAAAAATGGAATTGGAAAAAAGAATTGAAGTCAGAATTGGAGTCAGAATTGGGAAATGTTATTCCGCGAATATCCTATTCAATTTCGTTTTCAATTAGGCAAAACTTACCGCTCACTTTTGAGAGAAATATGGAACCCGAGGATTTTGTGGAAAACCCGTAAAGTGACGTCGAATTGGCGCCCACTCGAAGCATTGAGAACCTGGAAAAATGATTTATTGGAAATTTGGATGAAATGGAATGAAATGGAATCCGCAAAATGCAAATTGTTGATTAACTAACTGTAAAAGTGCTGGAGAAAAGGGGTTTCAAGAGAAAAGGCCAAAGCTTTCTTACAGGATGGTTGACAATTATAGCACCGTACTTCAGACGGCCTTAATTAGCCAAAATTGGGTTAATCATTCCGATTTTTCTGGATCTAAATCTTAAATATATCTCCTAAACCAGTGCCCATTATCTAATCGATTCAAGCTTTCAACTTTTTTAAATAGCCTTCCAAAGTTGAGAGCCGAGTTTCGCTACTTTAGATTTTTGTAAGTGCCCATTTATAAGATTTTTAAGATCAATCTTGTCAAAATCTCTTTCAAATTGAATTTATTATGTTAATGAACAGAATTTCATATGTTCTACGCGGTTTAAGAGCAAAAATTCTTGAGAAATGTCACCAAAACTCACTTAATCTGGTCTGTTTTCACTTGAACAACTCAGAGAAGCCATTAAATAACAAGAAAATCTTATTTTTCAAGGTCTATTGCTTTTAAATTTTATCAGTAAATATGATTAATTGAAAATCATGAAAATTTTAAAGACCTTTTATCAAAAAATGAAACTTTCATCCTATAAATGATCCCCTAAAAGAGTAGCGTCTCGATGCTCGGCTCTCAACTTTGGAAGGCTATTTAAAAAAGTTGAAAGCTTGAATCGATTAGATAATGGGCACTGGTTTAGGAGATATACTTAAAATTTACCTCCAGAAAAATCAGAACGATTGATCAAGTTTGGGCCAATCTAGGCCCTCTGAAGTGCAGCGTGGGCCACCCTGTTCTACCTTTCAAAACCTTGAACGCAACTTGATCTGCAAACAAATTAAGCCCCACTCCTTAAATAATTCTTCATATCAAACCTGTTGTTTGGTACACTTCCTACGTAAACGAATGGAACGGGGATCCCATGGAGACACTGAATTTTCACTTGATGTAACTGATGCATGTGCGCGAAGAAGACTGCGACTCTTGGCGGTTTCGGGAGATTTCTTTGAGAGTAGATCCTGCAAATTTAGTTTGATAAAGACTAAGTATCGACTGTTTAACTTTGAAAATATAAAGATACTATAAATCCTAGTCATTTATCTCACTACGGTATGCATTGATTCGAAGATGTAGTTAAAACAGCCGTTAAAACATTCAAAACAACTTCAAATTTCTCACAATCCAAAAAGCCAAGCCAATTCAGGTTTTATATCAAAAAAATTCCTTGCGTTCTTGGCTACACGATGAGTGAAACCGTTTTTTAAAAAGGTAATATTTAATGGCTAAAAAGAGCGCTAAAGATATTCAGTTAACCATCTGAATATCACTCGACACACATTTTGAGTTAATTTTATCTATTCAATATTAGCTTTTTAAAAAACTGTTTTACCCATCATGTAGCCAAGAACGTAAGGAATTTTTTCGTATAAAATTTAAACCGGTTTGGTTTTTGGATTGTGAAAGAATTAATGGCGTTGCTTTGAACGTTTTCTTTACTGTTTTAACTATTGGGTTGGTGAATTGAAAACTGGGGGACTTTGAAATAAAATTTATTGAACATAAAACCATCAATTCATTCCAAATAATTTCCATTATTATTGACGACTTCTGCCCATTTTACAGGCAATTTGCGGATTCCTCTTTGGTAGGATTTTGGTTTCTGTGTGAGACAAGTGTGAGACTCAAAAATGGAGGACTGGAGATGTCCAAGTTTGAGCATTTGAGCACTTTCTTCAAAAGAAACCCATTTTGGTGTCAATAGAAAAGTTGTAGAGAATCAAAAATTAGGCTTATATCCAAATTTCCAAAAAGATACACTTAGTAGTTTCGCTTAAAATGCAAGTTTTGTCAATTGTTAAGTTTCTCTATAACTTTTCCATTGACACCAAAATGGGTTTCTTTTAAAGAAAGTGCTCAAACTGTGACATATGACAATAGCCTCAACAAATTAGGTTCCTTATCTCAAGAAATTTGGTTCCTTATCTCTCTAGATTTGGCTCCTTATCTCTCTAGATTTGGCTCCTTATCCCAACAAACTTGGTTCCTTATCTCTCTAGATTTCTTCCTTAACTCTCTAAATTTCGTTCCTTAGTTCTTTAAATCTGGGTCCTTTTCTCTCTCAATTTGGTTGGATCTCTCTAAATTCGGTTCCTTATCTCAACAAATTAGGTTCCTTATCTCTTTATATTTGGTTCCCTAACTCTCTAAATTTGGTTTTCAATTCACCAACCCAATACATCTCTTTATCCGTTTTCCAAGACTGATATCTTTTAAACTCTTCCATGGCAACAACTTTGCCTTATTTACTTACCGTTTTTCTTGTATTGAGATTGAGATATCGATATGTTTGAGCAAATTTTAAGATAACTCACCAATCACTGAGCAACTCTTTCATCTTTTCACCGCGAACTCCTTCATTTTGATGAACATTTATGAGTATTGGAAGATTGGAATCCGCCAACAAATTCAACCGTTTCTTCAGCCATTCAATTGTTGATAATAACTGAATACTCTTAAAATGATTTTATAAACGAACAACTTTCCACTCGATCATCACTGACGTAAAGCTTCTTTCATAGTCAAGTGCATTGTTGAGCTGAATAATATTGGCGCAATTCTTGCCTAAAGCGTATTCAACAATTTACTAAATCGTTTAAAAACGTTTAAATACTTTTTTTAGCTTTTAAACAAACCAGTCACTGCACAAACTCTCGTCGAATAAGCAAATGATCCCTCATATTTAATATCGAAAGTGTTTTGAGCTGTTCTCACATAATCAAGTTGAAGACTTTGATTGCTAGCGTATTCACAAAACCTAATATCTTTTTGATTTGCTAATAGATTTGCTAATATTAGGTACTTGCAAAAGAAGCTACGGATTACTTCCGAGGACCAAAGTTTTTTTTTATTTGAAAGTATGATGGTCCGGTTTAAATTGCACTATATTGTATTATTATTGCTTATTCATTTTAATTGTTTTCACAACTATTGCTATCATTAAATATTACATAATCTTAGGTCCAAGATGACGGATCAAAAACTCGTGTTGCGGGCGTGTCTTCAGGACTTCAAAATGAAGAAATCAGCATCGAAGTCGCACCGGAACCTTTGTGAAGCATTCGGAGAAAACATTTTGAGTGAAAGGACTTGCCAGGAATGGTTTCGACGTTTTCGTGAAGGGGATGACAGCTTGGAAGACGAGCCTCATGGATATTGTCCAGTTGTCTTCGATAGCGCGGAGTTGCTGGAGATTGTCGAGTTGGATCCAACTCAAACTTTGTCCGAATTAGCCGAATACTTTAAATGTGATTCGAGCACAATTTCTCGACACCTTGCGCTTATTGGAACAAGGAATCATTGTGGCCAATGGGTCCCACCTGAATTGTCCCCTGAAAACAAAGCCAATCAAGTTTTATTGTCTCGGATTTTATTGAAAAAGGCTACGCGCAGTGCTTTTTTTGAAAGCATGTTGACGATGGACGAAAAGTGGATATATTTCAATAATTCAACACGCAAAAGACAATGGTTGAGCAAAGGAGAAAGGCCGATTCCGACATCACATCCAGAACTTCACGGAAAGAAAGTTATGCTGTCGGTCTTTTGGAATATGAAAGGAATCGTTTATTTTGAATTACGAAAATCTTCAAAAACTATAACTTCTCAAATCTACGCCGAACAGCTGAAGAAAGTTGATGAAATTCTACGAGAAAGAGGTGTTAATCCAAGGAAAATCCATTTACTCGCTCACAATTTCCGGGTACACACATCAAACTTGGCTCAAAATACCATAGAAGAATTAGGCTGGAAACTTGTGCCTCAACCGCCCTATTCTCCCTCAGATTACCACTTGTAATGGCTGGAAAGAATTAGACTGGAAACTTGTGCCTCAACCGCCCTATTCCCCTGATGTTGCTCCCTCAGATTACCATCTGTTCCTGTCTATGCAACACTCTCTTGCAAATCTAAAGTTTAACAATCTTAAAGAAGTCAAAATTTGGGTGCAAGACTACTTTGTGTCGCGGGACCCCGAATTTTTCGAATCAGACATCCGAAGTCTACGCAAAAAATGTAAGAACATAGTTGATAATATTGACAAATATCTTTTGGAATAAAGTTGTTTTCTTATTGAATTTTGGGCTGTTCAAATGTTGGTTATAATCCGCAGCTTCTTTCTTTTGCAAGTCCCTAATAGATTTGATTTTTGCTTTATCTAACCAATTCATCATTGTATGAGCACAGAAGTTAAAAACACAATCATCAACATTGTTATCACAGTCGTGATTGCCAAGACCGGGTAGAATTGGAATCGGGAAACTGGTCATCCATCCAGACTAAATGAAAGAACTAAAAATACTTGTTAAATCAAAAATTTACAATCATTTAACTTAGAAGCATCAGCTTAATTGAAATCAAAAGAAGATTTCTGCGATTTACAAGTAAAGAATTTGTATAGAGGATTTCCAATTAATTTCATATTCTTTTTCTTCAAAGGATCTAATTCAAAGGATTTTTTTATTAAAAAAATTGGGTTTACAAGTTCCAGAAGTGAACAAAAGCAAAATCAAAAGCGATTTCAAATGCAACTACAAAAAAAACCTAAATCATATGCTGAAATATGATTTGAATTTACTATAACCATTTTTTTCCTTGTTGGAAAATGATTGTTGGTATCAACTTGTTTCTCGGTATCTTCTGAAATCCTGTAGAAAAAGATTTATAACCGTCAATTTTAGCATTGGTTGTGTGTCTCCATTGACTGCCTCAACTGTACGCGGAAACAAGACCATTTTGTCAGCTTTGATAACAAAAAGTGAGCTTAAATTACTCAAACTAGAATCTAAGCTTTATGAACTGAAAACTTGTCTATTTTTCTAAGCCAAGTCATCGTTCTTTAGTGGCCGATCAATCGAATTTCTTGAAGCATCGAAATGGGTCTTTTTCTTCGCAGAACAGCAAGAGCTCTCAAGAAAAGATGTAAGTCAATTGTTAGTTTATATATTAGGTACATGCATAAGAAATGCGGATTTCAACATTTTCATAAATTTCCAACGATAGAAACCTGATATCGATGAATGTTATAAACTATTTGAAAGTTGTAAATCTCCTCTACAAAATAGGCTAAAACGTGTTTCAATTGATCGAACCATTGAAGAAATCTCGAGGGCGAAATGCGAGTGACCAAAAAAGGAATCGAGTCACTTTAGGGACAAGCTTAGTGTCATCAAAATAGAGTTAGCTTTCCAAAATTGAAGATTTAAAAAAAAGGATAACTATATATCAATTCATTAAAAAAAGTCCGACGGAAATGCATTTACAGAAATTTAGATAGAGCGTAAGTTCAAAAGCCTCAAAATTGTCAAAAAACCGGCTTTTTCACAAAAAAGAAAAATTATTGTAGAAACAAAGTTTTCCCATGAAATGATCCCAACTCTTAATTATTTTAAATGATATTTTAGGGCGCTCATTTTCCATTATATAGTCAAAACCGAACTCTTGTGAAAGTGGGGTTTTCAAAAAGTGCCCTTTTTTGGTCTAGAAGTTCTATTTTACTTTCTAGAAGTTAGTTTAAAGTTTTATCTTTTCATTATGTTTTTATGAGCTAAAAAGTTTGTCTCTGTTATTTATTGTCACCTTGTGATAGGAAATAGGGACATATTTTTGAGGCAAGCGAGCAAGTCTTACAAAGGAGCTAAAGGAGCTTATAGCTAAAAGTTTAAAGCCAAATTCCTTGCGTTTACAAGCCATTTCAAAAACTAAAAGCGGATTCAGAAAGCCTGTGAAAAACGGAACAAGATAGGGTCTCGTTTTGAATTTTTCTCGTTCTGTTTTCATTTCGTTCTCATTTTGAAATTCCACCTTAAGTTGACGACTTTCCCTAGTAAAGATCACCAACTCTTATGACAATTTTCCCATTTTCAATATTCCCGACTGATGTTGCCAATTCCCAGGGATTTCCCACCGAAAAAAAAAGCCGAGATTTCTTTGAGAGATTGAGCATTTGATTTACGCAGAAATCCACCCCATTCGGCGCAAGAAAAACGAGAAAAGGGTGACAAATGGGGGTTCTCTTTTTCGATTGGGGACCTCGAATCTCAACTATGGGAATGAAGGTCACTGGATGAGCGGCTTTTTATCCTTTATGCGCATTTTGACGGATTTCATCCCGCAGTCCCTTAGTGAGCTCTTTTATTGGGGAAAAGATGCGGCTTTTTTTGTGGAGAGAAAGCTAATTGTATGGCGAGTCGGTTCACGGTCATTTCAGAGTCATTTTCATTGCACACCCAAACTATAACTATAATCTTTTTATAAGTCCTTTAGCAGTTCATAAAATTTAAAAGGTTCCTTATTCGGTCCAGAGCTAGAAGTTCTATTTTACTATTTTACTTCTTGTCAGCTCCGAGCCAAACTGATATTTTAGTTACTATTGTTATTATTGAATGATTTGTCTATTCTTATGCAAATGTGTCCTCCCCTGTGCTTATCCCTTTTATTGCCGAGAAGGGGCGGTCCTTAGGATTGCCTAGGAGGACAAATGAGACTCTCATTTGGAGCCCCCCTTCCCCTTACACTCATTTGTAATCTATTCATCTTATTGTATTACTGTAAATAAAGATACGTATCTTCCGGGTCTATGCAACTGCAGTACAGGTCGGTCATTTCACAGGGACTCCCCCCTAATACGTTGGAGGAGTTGAGTTGGGTTGTCGGTGTGTTAGAGATGGCGGGATATCAAAAAGGGATCCACTCTTTTTAACTTAACCCAAATTCTAGTCCACATCCGTTTATACCTAGGAACGTATATTCTAAACTATTTTACTTCTAAACTATTTTACTTCTAAACTATTTTAATTCTAAACTATTTTACTTCTAAACTATTTTACTTCTAAACTATTTTCAGAAGATTCCTACTACCTGATCAAATTATTTGAAACACTTAAATGCTTGTTTTTTATCTATTTTATCAGTTGAAGACTTGCTTTTGAGCTCTAGATTTTATGACATTTATTTGAAAGCAGCTGCTTTGCTAAAATTTGCATTAACCTTTTAACTACCATTTAGAAATGAAAACTGTCCTTTTACTCTTGCCAAAACTCCGCTCAGTTCATTCATTCTTCACGAATTTGCATATTTGATATCAAAAACGTAAGAATTTTAAAAATCTAACCACTCCTCCGTCTTCTTCTCGATCGATTACCCCTAGTTCCATGCTTTACTCTCTACAAAACGCAACTAGTGAAGCAAAAACGTGATAATCGATAAACTTGTAAGGAAAACATCTATCGGTCCTTTTTTTGCCGTTGACAAATGAAGGTTTTCCGTGTTTTTATTAGCATCGACCCTTCGATTTTGACTATTTTGACTATCATTCAATGCAGAATAAAATGGCGCATCGAATGATACCAAAATCAACTCAAAATGTAATATCCATGTAAGGATATGAGGAAAAGGTTAAGTCCCGCCCATAATAGGCGGAGTTTAGGTTTTTAGCCAACAACTTTGCATGGATATTACATTTTGAGTTGATTTTGGTATCATGACGCGCAATTTCGTTCTGCATCAAATGATAGTCAAAATAGTCAAAATCGAAGGGTTGTTGCTGAGAGAAACACAAAAACCCTTAGATTGCCAACGGCAAAAAAGGATCGACAGATGTTTTCGTTACAAGTCTAGTAACAGACACACACAAGCCGACAGACAGACAGACAAACAGACAAACCAACAGACAAACAATTTTTTAAAACTATAATTTAGTAGATTTCATTGAGTTTACCATAAACTCGTTGAACTGATACATGTGCCCAAAATCGGTGAGATCTCCATCGATGATTAGAGCCGCTGGTTCGTATGGGAATTCTAAACTCAAACTTTGAAACATTTTTGGAAACACTTTATTGTCCATTTATCCGTGTATTAGGTTGAGTACTATGTGTTGGACATCCCTTACTCATTATTTCTTTTTATTTTGTAGAAAAAAGATAGGGCTTTTCAATAAAAAAAACCAATAAACCGTTTGTATTTTGGTCGATTCACCGCTTCTAAAACGATTAATAAAGATAGCATACCAACACATAATAACTCAACCTAATAATAAACCTTAAAGTAAGAGAGTTAGACTGCCTTTTGCCCCCCATATCCCACGCCTCAAGAAATCAAGCCGCAGATGTGAAATTAGCATTTTCTCGGCATCCCAGAAAGCTCCAATTTTATTTTTTTTGACTGACCTTTGATTAATTTCTCCATAGCAATTCTTTGCACTCGATTTGCAAATCGGCTTTCGATTTTTGTGCAATCATCTCTTCCCTTTCTCCATGTTTCATTGTACGGATAAACGGGTCGAAGGTTCTAAATTTTAGAGTTACAGTCGACTCTCTCTATAACGGAAGGGAACAAAAATCGTTTTACGTTATATAGAGCTTTCCGTTATATAGAGTGCCTTAAATTACCTTCACTTACCTTAAATTTGTACCTTAAATTACCTTAAATTTGTCCAGTTTTGACGTTTTATAGCTCATCCTAAAGCTGAATTCAAGACGGATCGATTGGTAAAAACCATTTTGAGATATCTCTTTTCTAAAAGAAAATGCGTGTCTAGGGGTTATTTTTGACGCTGATCACGAAACACATGTTTTTAGCCTAGGTTTCTGCACGGAAAACTAACGAAACGTGAAAACAGCCCTTTTTTTGGCTCTGCCGGCCTTTACTAAAATAGCTGTAAAAACTTTTAGAAAAGAGATATCTCAAAACGGTTTTTACCAATCGATCCGTCTTGAATTCAGCTTTAGGATGAGCTATAAAATGTCAAAATTGGACAAATTTAAGGCACTCTCCCAAAAAATCGGAAAAGACTTTTCCATCAATCCAATATATACAGTACTGGACAATTAAATATCATATTTGAAAAAAAGGATCGTCACGTTCGCGCGCCTGTAACTCCCTTGCCTTTGAGTTTAAACTATTAGTGTTATACATTTTCTGAAAGCTCTTTTCAAGGGCTACACAATGGTAATATTAATATTTAGAAATACCGTATTTTTTGACGCATTTCAGCGCGCGCGAAAGTGACTATCGTTTTTCAAGTATGATATTTCATTGTCCAGTACTGTAGCTTAGCCTCGGCCGGGACCAAAATTCCACTCCATTATATAGAGTTTTCCGCTATATAGAGTTCCGTTAAAGAGTCGTTAAAGAGAGAGTCGACTGTACTTCACAATCCTCTTTTTTTTATTGTTTTCTTATGACTTACAATATCCAATCGATTCAACATTCTACAGTATCTGCTAGCCGTTTTACATTCAACATTCGTTGTCTCACATTTGAAATGATACTGTGGATCACCCATAAGCAATAAAGTAAGCTCATCTTTTTTCGGGTATGACTCATCTTCTGAAATTAGCACTTAGAAATGTTTGGTTCATTTTTTCATCTTATTTTTGGTTAAACCTGGTAGGATTTTAGCTTGTAGCCATGGCAATACAATGAGGATCGTAAAAAATAGCGGGAAAACGGAAATCATCGGAATGAGAGCACAGCTGAGTGAAGAAAGAAAGAGGGAAGGGTCAATTTCTGGGCAAAATTGAGGAAAAAGAGAGCATGTGAAATTTTCTAAACAATCGCTTTCTTTCTTTTGCTCTTTTTGAAACGTCTGGTCAATGGGCATTCATTTCATCCATTGGGCAAATTGACAAAAGAAAAAAACTAAAGTCGAACCTGAGACGCGAGAAAAACTGTTTAAATGATTCATATAGTCAAACGAAGTATCAATATCAATATATCAATGAAGTTCTCGTAAAGTTAAGACTTTTGTAAGACTCATGACTCGATAACGGCTTAGATACTCAATACTCATGCTTCTCGATAGGTCTAAGAACTTAACAATTGTATTTGTACTTGTAGCAAAGTTACAGTATTTTTAATCACAACTAGAGTGTGTTCTTCGTGATTAAGCAAAGAGCAAAGGGCAAAACGACGTCATTTTTGTATAGAGATTGAACAAATATGACGTAGGATTGCCCTTTGCTTTATATCTCGACGTACAAGCATCAGCAAGCAACATCAGCAAGCATCAGCAAGCAGCATCAGCAAGCAGCATCAGCAAGCATCAGCAAGCATCAAACAGACTTTCTAAAGCTTGCACTTCAAAAAGGCTACTACCGTTTAACTTTCAAAGTGTCTCCCTTGCCCACTCGGCTGAATATCTTCTAGTTTCGTGGGGAATTTGAAAAAAAAGGCAGCTACGGAAAATCTACGCAGAAAAAGGGGGACTTTGTAGCTTTCATAGCTGCCCCATTTGTTTGAATTTTTCCATAAAATTAAAAGATATCAACTAGAGCTTAGGGGATACTTTGAAAGTAGAATTACTTTATTTATATAATTATATGGAAATTTCTATAAATGGAAATTCAAACTTTTCCTTCATCATTTGAGGTTATTTTCGCAGTATTTCTAAATAGTAATTTTCAAGGTTAATGCAAATTTTAGCAAAGCAACTGCTTTCAAATAAATCCCAGAAAATCTAGAGGTCAAAAGCAGCAGCAAAAGCAAAAGCAAAAGCAGTCTTCTTTTCTAATATTCTTGCTTCTTTTCTAATTTCACTAAATTATCCTGGAATCAATCGCAGCTCTCAATCAAAGCTAAACATTCAAGCTCTCAATCAAAGCTAAACACTTTTACAATATTTTTAGATTAGAATCTTTTCCACTGCACTCCAAACAGCAAGTGACCACCAAATGGCACTCGAAATGACCATTTTCCCAACTCGTTTACATCTTTCATCGTTTCATCAACTCGAAACGAGGAATTTACTCTCCCTTTGCACCAACTGTCGCCCCGTTTATGACCTATCATCGTTTCCGTATTTTGATATCTTTTTTAAACGTGGGTTAGACGTTTATGATCTCAATCTTTATCTTTAAGCATCCAAGGCTTCAATCTTTAAGCATTCAAGGCTTCAGTTTATTTTATAATGTTTAATGCTTAAATTTGTCAAATCCTATTCCTAAAACAAACACTTTGCGTCTTGTGCAATTCTCAATTAAATTGCAATTTCTCTTGCAATTTAATCATTGCGATTCCCCATGGATCTTGTTAGATCAAAGTATGAAGAAAAGAACGAGAGCAATGCTTGTTCTTTTGTTGAAAAAGAGGAAACTTTTCATTTCTTTTCATTTTACGACTGCCAAAACACATGTTTTCCAATTATTTTTACACATTTTCTATCAGAATCTCTCAAATTTTTCACCTTTTTATAGGGCATTGAAGTGGAACGATGAGGGAAATTTTTGAAAGATTTCTTTTGATGAAAATTTTTGGTAGAATTTATTACTCAAAAAAAGATACATTGAAAAATTATAAGATTTTAAGATTACAAGATTTTAAGATTATAAGATCTTTAATTTATAAGATTTCAAGTTTATTAGAATATAAGTCAAAAATTTGTCGCGTCTAAACTGTCTAGGCATTTAAACACTTACAAAAATGACTTATTGATATTAGGTGTGTGAAAAAGTGATCCACATTTTTAACGTTTAAAAATAAAAGACCATAAGTTTCGTTAAAATAATTTTTATTCAACGAAGTAATCACCATTCGAAAGAACAACCTTTTGCCAACGTTCTACAAGTAAAGACATTCCACGATAATAAAAATCTTGATCCTTAGAGGCGAAGAAAAGATCAACCTCGGTTTTGACATCTTCTTCGGAATTGAATCGTTTATTGGCTAATATTAACCAATTTATTGGCCAAAAAGTTAGACAGAGACAAAAATAAATAATAATCAGATGGAGAAAGGTCTGGACTATAAGGTGGATGTGGTAAAATCTCCCATCCAACACTCTGGATTTTTTGTCGAGTCTGTAAAGAGACATGTGGTCGGGCGTTATCATGGAGCAACAGGACACCTTTCCTATTTACCAATGATGCGCGTCTCTCAGTGAGTTTTTGTTGGACTGCATCAATCTCGGCACAATAGACATTCGAATTAATCGTTTGGCCACGTGGTAAATAGTCTATGTGCATAATACCACGTGCAGTCCACCAAACTGTCATTAAAATTTTTTTTAGGATGGAGGCTTTTTTTGGGCATTGTCCCAGCAGGTTTACCACGTTCCACCCACTGTCCAGACCTTCTAGAATTATCGTAATCAACCCATTTTTCATCACAAGTAACAATTCGATCAATAAATGGCTCAAGTTGATGTTTACTAATCAAAGAATTGGCGATTGTAAGGCGCATCGTTTTGTTTTCTTCGCTCAATTCATGCGGTATCCATTTGTCCAACTTTTTGATAAAATTCATGGCATTCAAGCGTTTCCTTACGGTTGACCCATCACAATTTAATGTAAGGCCTATTTTTGAAGAGGTTGAACGAGGGTTTTCGAGAAGACAGCGTCTTATTTGGTCATCAGATAAAAATAAAAAACGTGGATTACTTTTTCACACACCTAATAGAATATAAGGCAAAAATTTGTCGCGTCTAAACTGTCTAGGCATTTAAACACTTACAAAAATGACTTATTGATACATTCTTAGCTTTTTAAAGATAATCTTTTTCTCAAAAATCTCAAAATTCTTATCAGACTATTTAGCTGAAAATTTCCGACCAATAAAACCCTAAAAGACTTGCTAAAAACGCGCGGGAATGACAGTTAAAAAAGAAGCCGGGGAAACCCGGTCATAAATCTTTCTCAAATGTACCAAAGTCGACCACCATTATTTCAAGTCAATGATTGTATTGAATGACGAGAAAAATCGAGAAGAACAAGCATAAGATTGTCATTGTTTGATCTCGTTTTCCCCTCCTCATTCCTCGATCAAAAGGGAAACCTCCACTTAAAACTGTTTGAGCAATCTTGACCTCAAAAACGACAAGTATTCCGGCTATTTAGAAACGTTTTTTCTCTACATTTTTAGATATTTCGTGATATAGATATTTTGTGCTTTCACTGTTCAGCAGCTAAATTTGGCTTTTCAGATCTAAATTTGGTGAATCACTTAGCCAATAAAGGGACGAGTGAAGTCCATTGAATGGAGGGGATCGCATGGGAATAGCTAGGGGAATTGGGCACGATTTGGAGGCTTTCACCTTTAAGAGGAGTTGAAAAGGGAATGAGTCTTTGCAAAAAAAAGGGGTAAAGCGCTTCCGAAACCATTTGGAAAAGCAAGGCGAAGAGGAGGAACGGGCAATCCCTTCAAGGGTGAGAAAAGGGCGCTAATAGGGTGAGAGTTCCCATTTTAAGAAAAGAAAAACGGATCGCGAATTTCTAGATCATTTGTCTATTATGATTTTGATTTTATACACCGATTTGTAAGGATTTCTTTGTCTTTAACTTGCATAGCTTTTTTAGCCAAAGTTTAGCATGTTTTGAGCTTTGTTTAACGTTTTAACGTTAGAAATTCTACCTCTGTTTTTGTCAGCTAACGATTTTAAACGTTTTTTTTGATTCTTTGGAATTTCGCTTTTGGATTCGTTTTGGATTTGCTTTGGTTCGTTTTTTTCTTCGAAATTTCTCTTTCGAAGACGTTTTATTTCGAAGACGGGTTCTTTGCACTCGTTGATGTGTTGATGGACTTGATTGGTAATAGATTTGATACTATTTAACACAAAATCATTTTTGGCTTGGCACGATAGTATCTATGTTAACTGTGGACCTGAAAGCTTGTAACTGGAGGCATTCTAGGATCGAGAACCTGAATTTGTTATTAGTTTTTGAGTAACTTTAATTTCCAAGCCAATACAGTCAACACAAAAGCTTCTAAAACTTGGGTAATTAAACCAAATTGGAGAAAAAAGAGCCCAACAGATTTTGGTTTTACCTTATATCTCTAGAAACTGTATGCCAGAAACTGTGCGATTACGTAAGCATTAAAATTTTCACGTTTTTTTGTAATCGCGCACCTTCACGGCCCTGGATGTGGGGTTACACTTGGGTAATTAAGCCGAATGAAATATCCAAAAATAGAGCAATTTTCTTCAAAAATTGATAACGGATTCGAATTCCTCGTCCTCGAAAACCCCTGATTGCAGATTTTCAGCCCAACCGGCCTCAAAAAAAGTGCTAAATCCACGTACGGCTCACAGCTAGGTTGTACTAATGACAAATACTTTGGTGTCAACTCAACTTGCATTGCACTCAACTCAACTTGATTGCAGATTTTCAGCTCAATCAAAAAAGTGCTAAATCCATTTACGGCCAAGCTATACGGATAGCTGTAAGGCCAAGTATTGTCGCAAATGTGTTGAGTTTCAAAACGGAATCTATCTCAATGTTTTAGTTCATACTTTATTGGTGTTCAACAGATCTACACCGAATATCACCGAAATATCACCGAAATATCTACACCGAATCTTCGAATATCAATATCAACACCAAAATTTCACTTCTTCTATTCACAAAACCACAAACCGATTCTTCTTCTATTCACAATTCTTCCCACTCGATCAACAAACCATTCCTGAAGGGTTGAAAAAGAAGCCTAATCGAAGAAAGAGTTTCCATCTCCGAAAAGGAAAAAAAAGGGGGAACAAACCGCTGAGTGTGAGGGACGGCGGCTTCCTTTTCACTTCCATTGGAGACACCCAACCCACACGCGGAGAAAGTGCCTAAATGGAAATTGAAAAAGACGGAACGCCTCGCCTTCTTTTTCTTTTGATGCAACTCTCGGCAGATGGTGCTTTTTTTCAAATAATACTTAACACCACAATAACGGCCTTATTCGTCATGACTGTGAGTCTTGCTCAGGCTTGTTATTGAAATTGAATTCTTTGTTTTCTTTTCTATTTACTTTAAATCTCAGATTTATATTTTTTAACCATAAGCATCTCAAGCTCTGTCGTTGACAATATATTCTTTATTCTTTTGGAAAAACAGGTAGCCCACTTTGAAAAGAGGGTACTAGACCTTCTCTATGTATGCTTTCTACTTCAAGAGTCACTTCTGGTCCAAAACTTGATCTAGACTAGTCTTATTTATGACTATGATGATTGGAATCATTTAACTTATGATTTTTGCATCAATTTTAACATTATTCTGCCCATTTCTCTTTAAGCCAAGTATTTCTGCAGCCTTCGATGATTGCAAAGTTGTCGAGACGGGACCTTGACTAAAACATCTGGATTTCAAGTGTTGGATTCAATGAAAAACCACTAAAACTTTTTCTAGGTGCTGTAGTAGATGCCGGCACTGTTGTAACGTGATTGACTTGCTTGCGGAATAAAGTTTATCCAGAATAATGAAGACGAATAATGATAAATAAGAATGATGATAATAATAATAATAATAAATAATAATAACAATAATAATAACAATAATAATAACAATAATCATAACAATAATCATAACAATAATAATAATGGGAGCGAAAACAAAATAAAATGGCACAAACTACGAGACGCTTCTAGTGACAATCTAGACAGACGTAAAAGGTGCACTTTAGAAAACGGCAATTTTTTGGAAAGTAGAATATAAATCAGAGAATGAATATAAATATAATATAATGAGAATAGAAATCACTAGAGCAATGAAAAAGGAGATGTTTTAACACGTTTTAACAGGTTTTAGCATGTTTTAACAGGTTTTAGCATGGTACGGCCCACCAGTTGGCCGTTAGCGGATTTAGCACTTTTTTTTCAAGCCGATTGAGCTGAAAATTTACAATCAGGGGTTTTTGAGGATGCGGAATTCGAATTCGTGATTAGTTTTTAAAGAAAATTGCTCTATTTTTGGATATTTCTTTCGGTTTTCATCCGGCTTTTATCCAGTTACAAATTCTCAGGTCTACAACTAACATACAGGGTGACCAGAAATCACCCGTCCTTTTTTCTAGGCTCATATTTCTGTTAGTTGTAGACCAAAACGATTAATTTCTTTTTTAAAATAAAATTCACATCGTTTTCTGTATATGTCCAAGATTTCATGACCATAGCATCGATAGAAAAATTTTATGAACGCTCAAAGATGGCTGGTCAAAAATAACGAGTCGCGGTTCAAATCTTGAAAATATACAGAAAATGATGTGAATTTTCATTTAAAAAAAGCCATTAATCGTTTTGGTCTACAAATAACAGAAATGTGAGCCTAGAAAAGAAGGACAGGTTATGTCTGGGCACCCTACAGGGTCACCTGGTCACCCTAAAGGCTATTTTCCTAACACTAGGTAAAATGAATTCGTGCAAAGATTCTTATCATTTTCCACCCGTTTCGTCGCCCATTTCCTAGTTGATTTCATCCATTTTTGTTCTTGATCTAGGATTTCCACCTCTATCGCTAAACACCTGTTTTCTGGGGTCCTTTTTCGGGAGTACAAATGGACGCGCAACACATGGCCGTCTCCTCTCAATAGAGCGCCATTCATTGCCTCACGTCTCTTTCACAAACATTCCACAAATGGACATTTTCACTTTTTTTTCCTTTCCGCTCACGCTTCCGCACGCACGTCATTTAGAAGTTGATTTTGAAAGTTTTGAAAGATTTAAAACTTATTTTTAGTTTGCTATATTTGCAATCGTTAGCTCTACGAAAATCTTTAGACCAAATCCGGTTTTGGCTGGGACGCCTTGATAATTAAATTCACTCTAGTTCTAAAGTCCAAACTTTTCTGACCCTCTAGCTCTTTTCAGGATCAAATCCATCCATTCTTCTACTTATTCAGATTCATTCAGTAAAATCTATTCCTACTAAATTCTAGTACAACCTCTTCACCCTCTTTTGTTGGTTCTTGGTTCCCAGAGTTCCGAAAAGTTTCACAGTTCGAGTAAAAAGATAATCTTAACAAGAAGTTCTTCTTTTCTATCCAATTTCTCTTTTCTTCTTTTCACCGATGCTCTCAAACCCGTTGTCCACTCTCGAAACGCTCGAATGAGTGAATATGTTTGTTGACGATGATTGCAAGAGAAAGTGAAGGAGGAAAGAAATGGGATTCTCTAGAAATGGGATTCTCATGCCCATCCCTTAAATTCACTTCATTCACTCTTAAAAGTTTAATTTTCTAATTAATTTTCTAATTACTTTGTCTACAAGTTCTAGATTTTAAATTCTGTAATTTCTGAAGGAATTAACAATATAGTTTTTGAAAGGGTTTTATCCAAATTAGGTTTCGTCCTCGCTATACTACTGGACAATGAAATATGATATTTGAAAAAAGATCGTCACTTTCGCGCGTCTGTAACTCCCTTGTCTTTACCGTATTTCTAAATATTAATATTACCATTGTGTAGCCCTTGAAAAGAGCTTTTAGAAAATGTATAACACTAATAGTTTAAACTCAAAGGCAAGGGAGTTACAGGCGCGCGAAAGTGACGATCGTTTTTCAAATATCATATTTCATTGTCCAGTACTGTACGTGATCTATTCTTAACTCTAGAAGGATTGGTTAAAAACACTCACCTGTTTCCATTATTCTGCAATTGCACAGGTGATTGCCGTTTGAGTCAACGACATGCGGTTGTCGGAGAAATTTCACATCAACAACAGCCGGCGACGAGTCGACGGGTTGACCATTGTAGTTGGCTTGGCACAAAACGGTGACACCAGTCCAATTCGTGTTCACTGGGATGTTCTTCAGTTGGATCACCTGAATGTTTTTGATTTCAGAATTGTTTTGTTTCATGCTATGCTTGTTTCATGTATGTACAGCACAACTCAAAAGTGATCTCGCTGAGAAAATTCGATCATTTCTAACATTTTTTCAAATAAGATGTCAGATAAGATATTTTTAAATTCATCAATCCTTTTCAAAACTGTCTCCAACAAGATCATAAGCATGTCTATTAAGCTGTCCACAAAATCTTTTTCATTTCTTTTCCTATTTCTGTCAAAAAAAAATAACAAATTCATCAATTGATCAATAGTTTCCTCTAAATAGTGTTTATTGTTCAATTTCCATCTTTTTAAGACCAATTTCGGTTCACTTTCAAGCAAATTAGAGAGCAAATTGGCCTTTCTAATGAAACAAACTGTAGGTTTTGGTGGATTGGTTGGTGGATTGGTTGGTGGATTGGTTGGTGGATTGGTTGGTGGATTGGTTGGTGGATTGGTTGGTGGATTGGTTGGTGGATTGGTTGGTGGATTGGTTGGTGGATTGGTTGGTGGATTGGTTGGTGGATTGGTTGGTGGATTGGTTGGTGGATTTGTTGGTTTTAGATGTAAGTACGAAAAGGAACGAAGACTTTTTGAACAACCTAATACAATGGCTCAGGCATTGGCTATACATACTTATAAGCTCAGGCATTGGCTATACATTGGCTATACATACAATGGCTATTATACATACTCTTATGGGTTTCATCTTTTTATTGCTATCTAGTTCTTTGTCGACCCTATGGACAAAGGGATTATTAATCAAAAAAATTCCCCGGTAGCCCCCTGCACACCATTTACGGCACTTAGAATCCAAACTCGGTCAGAGCAAACTCAAGCAACCAAGATTGACCGATTAAAGATCTCCTTTAGCGTTTGTGTTACCGTTATAAGGTTTATAACTGGATTGGTTACCAGACTGACTCATAAGGACACAACCCGTTACAAAAAATTAACTTAAACCATTATTAACTTAGCCATTATTTGCTATTCACTTGTGATAGAATTTTCAATTTTGTCTTCAGTAAGGTGATAAGCATTTCTATTATATTTTAGTCTCTTACTGCATTGCTATTTCAAGGCTTAAAACGGCAAACCCCACCTAGACTTCAAATTAAGTCATTGGGCAAATATTTTGCTTTCAAGAGTCAATAGTCTATCTAGTGTTTGTTAAGAAAGCCATGCCCATCTCCATCCTCAAGATAACATCTGCTACACCGATCTTTGAAGTGCTCACTCAGCTCGATCCAGAAAATCCTATCATTGAATGATCTCATCAAGTTTTTACCCTCAAATCCACCAATCTTTCACTTATTTACTCTGAAGGTTTCTTCTCTTTTCTTTTTTCTTTTTTTCCGAAGGTTTCCACCCTCTAATGTCAATAAGCGATATCGAGAGGGCTCTCCATTGGCAGCCGATTCACGCGATCTCTTCGAATATCTTTTTTCTTTCGAATCTACTCTTTTCTGTTATCCACAATTGTTTGTGATCATCCAGTCTAGAGCCATTCAACGAGAATTGATACAGCTCTTGAGGGTCTCTTTTTTGTTCTCTTCATCCGGATCGCTTTGGCAAATTATTTCTCCTTGAATTGGGAAGGGTTTGGTAGAACGCGTGACTTTATTCCTTTCATTGATGTAAACAAATTCTCAATCTTACTTCCCTCAATCTTACTTCCCGCAATCTTAATTCCCTCAATCTTACTTCCCTCAATCTTACTTCCCTCAATCTTACTTCCCTCAATCTTAATTCCCTCAATCTTACTTCCCTCAATCTTACAATTTTACTTGCTTTGTGCTTTGTGCACAGCTTTGTGCACAGCTTTGTGCACTGAAAACGAGAATGGCTGCCTGAAATCATACAGGGTTTTTTCAAAAAATATTTCTATTCAATACAGTTTTTGATGCAGATTCTGAATCCGTTTTCAAAATCTGAATCCAGAGATTTAAAACTGAATCCAGAGATTCAACAGTAAGTGTGAAGCTTTTTGGTTTTCATTGAATTCTCTTGTGAAACCAAGCAAGCTTCGGTTTTAGAATTACAAATAAGTACTTTTTTCCCCAAATATTCCCCAAATATTCCCCAAATATTCCCCAAACAAGCCACTCCTTCTTCTGAATCATCGTTAACTGTTTTTCTTTGTATTTTCTTTTAATTTCTGTATTTTACAGTTTCTATTGTGTGTATTTTCTTCCGTTTGAAAACAAAAGCTATAATTTCTCTAGATTTTGTCAATCGATCCAACACCACAAGTGGTCACTTGCCTAGAGCGCCCGAAAATGGGGCTCAGGTTTGGGATTTTCGATTAAACTGAAATATGATTTGATCTGATTGCTAGGCAGTGCTTAAAATGCTTAAATTGGCGAAGTGCTTAAATTTCAGGGAAAAGGATCGGTCCAATCGGAACTCGATGGCCATTTCCGAGCACAGTTTACCGGATCGACTCACACAAGCTCTCCGGGCTCTTCGACCGGCCAATATTGCTCATTCGGCTAGCGGGGTGACACCGTTTAAGAATTATAAGGTATGGATTGAATCGGAGAAAAGATTGAAAGGCAAACAAATAAAAGGCAACAGGTTTTATCTAGAAATTCTTATGCTACAGATTTACGGACTGCTACAGCTAACAGACTTATCTACAGATTTCTATAAATGTTATTTAAAAAACTTCCTAACCTGTACTAGTAATGGGTTCCTATACGACAGAAGGGCTTCTATGACCCCCTCAGAAGCTAGACTGTAAGGCTTTTTACGAGCTAAGTCTACATCAAAACTAATAGTAAGTCAGGCCAGGATCTGGGCTTTACTGGCAACATTTTAATCCTACTAGTCGTATCGTACATTTTAGTCGTGGATTTAACTTTTTTGAGGCCGATTTGGGCTGTAAATTTGCGCCGGGGGTTTTCAGAGTCAAGGAATTCGAATTTTTACTTAGTTTTTAAAGAAAACTGCTCTATTTTTAGATATTTCATTCGGTTTAATTACCCAAGTGCAACCCCAAAAGAGCACATAAGGGTTTCTATGACCCCCTCAGAAGCTACTCAGACCATTTGTATAAACCCTTGACCAACCTAGCATTAGGTGACCAGTTTTTTCATAAGCAAGTGTCCCTCGACTGGTCATCGATCCTCTCGTTCACTTTTTTTCACTCACCCTTTCTCTCTTGTCTTCTTTGGCCTGTCCGATCAGTGGTCGTCTTTGGTGATGACTTCATATTGGCTTTCTGCCAGTCTCTCTCTCTATCTCGGTCATTGCTAGTGTTAAAAGAAATAATCAGGTTGGGAAGGGAACGTAAAGATTTGACTTTGAAAACTAAAGTGTTAACTAAAATCTTTACCTGAGAATTTATCGAGTTCAAACTTTAGAACAAGTCTGGTTCTACAGTCGATGCATCGAATGATGTGGTTTTCATTGTTGGGGACAAGGTTCCACCGCCAGTTCCGCCAATTCCAATGGGACGCTTTCAGAAGTCACCGCTAATGGTAAGAGTTTGATTTACTGCAAAAACCTGTCTTTTAAAGTACTGTTTTTAAGCTTTTCTAAGCTTTTTAAGCTTTTCTAAGCTTTTTTAAGCGTTTCTAAGCTTTTTAAAGCCAACTTTTTAAAGATAAGCAATTTTCAACTTCAAAAGGTTTGGTCAAGTCATAGTATCTTCAGAAGTGAAGCTATTTTCTTCCATCTTCACTATATAATTCAATATAATCTCTCGAACAATATTGTTAGAAGCCATTTTCAATGGTGCCCTAGTTGTGGTTGCTTGGAAGGGGGAAGAGAAGGATGCGCAATGTAGTCTCCTCTCCACGCGCAAACAGTCCCACCAATTTTTTTGTGCTACCACTCAACTGAAAAGAGAAGCGGAAAAGCGGAAAAGCGGAAAAAGCGGAAAGGAGTTAAGGCGCTTGGCCTCCGTTGGCCTCCTTTGCACTTCCCATCTCTTTCTTGTCTATCTTCTATCTTTTCGCTTCATTTGGACTCCCCTTTTGTTCCCATCATCTTTTTATCCCTTTCTTCGACCTTTTTTTTGACTCAGTCGTCGCCCCTTTTGCTCGTCACGTTGGAATTCCCGACTTCCAAACATTTTTCAACTCGAATCTGTGCTTTGAACCAGAGATTTCCTATCGATTTATCTGAATCAATAAATAATTCAGAGAAATCGAAACGTCGTACATGGATGTTTAGGAGTATAAAGGTATTTAAAGTTCTTTTTGTCTAATTCTTTCTTGCTTTTCTTTATGTTTTTCTTTTCTTTTTGAAATTTAACCCATTCGAAACTTCTGCAGCGAATAATCGCTGCAGCAAAAACTCAGGAACGGACCACTGCAGCGATTATGCGCTGCAGCGCTAATTGAGCTATTTTCATTCAATTAATTGGTTTTTTTTTGCTGTTTTTAGCATTATATTCCAATTGTAACAGATCTACAAATTACGTGGGCAAAAAAGACGTGTCATATTTACCCGGAATCAATGCAGCCTCTGGTTTTGCATTGAAATGTTCCTTAACAGCTCTAATCTTATAAAGCCGATCTTCTGCAGAATCCAGTTCATTATCACAAAAGCGCAGGTTTCGAAGAATAGATTCAAATTTTGCTCTTGACATAATGTGGGACATATGGGAAAATCCTCCTACTCCAGGCCTGCTACTTCAGTAGTCACGAATCCTCGGTAATTTGACGATTCCCATTTGAAGATACAGAGCCAGGAGGAAAATCTTCCAAGCTCTCTTGAAAGATTTTGCATCGAAATCCTGCCAGTTTGTTTTCCTTTTTCCATGTTTATTAGATTGGCCTACTAACATATTGTCGTCGATAATAAGAGTCCAAGCAAACCGCTGTTGTCTATCTCAAAGAGGTGCAAGGTGAAGAAAACGAGGAAACATACGACGAGAAGGAGAATAAGAAAAAACGTGATTGGGGCTTCCACCTACCCTCGTTCAAAATCGGAGGAAGCAAAAGGTCGACCAAAGAAGGGGAAGAGCCCCATCCAATCGTTTCTGAACCTTATGAAGGCCCACTCGACTCTGTGGATCGTGAGAACGATCTCGAGAGACTTCCATTTGAGACCGAGCCAGCAACCGACAACACCGAAGTCGTTGCTGTACCTCAAAGAGGTGCCAGGTGAAGAAAACGAGGAACTTGACTTCAGTAGTCACGAATCCTCGGTAATTTGACGATTCCCATTTGAAGATACAGAGCCAAGAAGAGCTTGAAAGATTTTGCATCGAAATCCTGCCAGTTTTTTTCCTTTTTCCATGTTTATTAGATTCGCCTACTAACATATTGTCGTCGATAATAAGAATTGATAAGAAGATAAGAATAATAATCGATAGGATCTTGAAAAGTACTGAAGTCAAATCCAAATCGTTCTTCATCAAAAATAAATGGTGTAGAAGACTCTCTTAAATCTTTCCAACCATCTGGATAAACTGCTTCGGAGTCAAAAATGTCAAAAAAGGGCTTGGTCCGCAGACCAAAAAAAAAGAAAAAACGCTTCGGTTTCGAATGGGTTAATGTGTTTTTGGCCTTCTCCTAATAACTTTTTCTTTTTCTTTTTGAGTTGAAAAGTTTAGCTGACTTGTAAAGAGCTCTACTTTTTTGTGGCTCTCCGTCAAGCAATCTCTTCCAATTTTCTGTAATCAGAACACCTTTGATAGCCGTTTTCACTTAGAAGAACGCAAAATTTTGCCATAAACTTATTCTAAATGCAAAATCGATGCTAAGAATCTAAAAATACTTATCATTCCGTATTGGCTATAGTTGCTAAATTTAGCAAAAAGCTCGCTCGGTGCTCGATCGGAGCTCTGTGGGCGGCTCTCCACAATTAGCCGAGAGAAATCCTTTCCATGAACCGGCACTCAACAGTTTGGAACAAATTCGCAATCTCTACAAGAGTGTCCCCAATGTGCACTATGATACGTAAGAAGTTGGTGAATTATTTAAGAAAATCGAGTTCAGAGTGAGCAGCCCGACTCCAACTGAGGAAGATGATGGGTTTTCTTCTACTCGGTCAGTGTTGCTTGTACTCTTGTGCATTGTGTTGCTTGTATTCCTGTACTTTTGTGCTCTCACTCTTGCAAGTGTACACTTGTAAACGTCTAGGACTGAAAAGACTCGTGCAGCTTTCCCATTTCATTGAACCATCCTTTAGATCACCAACCGATTCTGGATACAGATCGACTCCCCGACTTGACCGAACTCCAGACAAATCTGAGGAAGCAAATGGTTTTGAAAACGAAGAGAAATGTTTGATTTAAAATTTGTAGGAACTTCGAATTCCCTGGGAGCTTCATCAGGGTCCGGTTCTTCGAGGAATGGCTTCAGAAGTAAAGAAATCCCGTCGAGAGCCGAAGGAGAAGTGAAAAATAGTCCAAAGGTAAAGTTCAGAAACTTTTTTAGAGTTTGGTTTAATGGTTTTAGAGTTTAGAAACCTTGCTAATAGGTTGAAAAAAGTTTTGAACAAATTTGATAAACTGTCAAAGTCAGAGAATCTTTATCCACAATCTAGCTCGCGATGAGGCCACAGCGACCTCAAGGACCCACACCGAACTCCAGTCCACCGTCGACAGTTGGCTCAAAACCGGAACGGTGAGGGTTTTGGATAATCAAAATCTTCTTGATATTAGATGATTTGATTAGCATAACAAAACTTGATTCGATTGATACAATTCTTGTATCAATCTTCTACATCTTGTTCTTTTCAGTCACCTTCCCTTCACTCGATCCCATATAGACTCCGTCTTGGAGTCGAGAAGATGCAAATCATTCGCCAATTACATTGATTCAGCAGTATTATCAAGGTAGTTTTAAAGCTAGATATTAGGCTGTCCAGAAGAAAGTCTTTTCTTTTCGTACTTTTGTTGAAAAATATTAGATTGAACGATATGAAATGTCCGCGACTTTACCATTGACCCCTTTCCTTCAATTCATCATAGATTTTTCTTATTTTTTGAAAGTAGATACTAGAGACAGTTTCTATATTAATATTGAAATATGAAGCAGATTCTATGATGAGCCAAGAACGGTCAGCTTAAAAAACCTGACTTTTACATGCCCGTGAAATCCTTGTATCACCAAGAGAATATGTTTCTTTGATATTATTGGGTTGGTGATTGCCATTGTCATATGTGACAGTTTGAGCACTTTCTCCAAAAGAAACCCATTTTGGTGTCAATAGAAAGGTCGTAGAGAATTAAAAATTAAGCTTATATCCAAGTTTTCAGAATGATTCAGAAACTGGTTTTCAAGAAATGCCAAATTTACGAATTTTCACAAAACTTGCATTTTAAGCGAAACTACTAAGTGTATCTTTTTGGAAATTTGGCTATAAGCCTAATTTTTGATTCTCTACAACTTTTCTATTGACACCAAAATGGGTTTCTTTTGAAGAAAGTGCTCAAACTGGGACATCTCCAGTCCTCCAGTCCTCCATTTGAGTCTCACACTTGTCTCACCCAAAAACCAAAATCCTACTACGAAAGAGGAATCCGCGAATTGCCTGTAAAATGGGCAGAAGTCGTCAATAATAATATAAATTATTTGGAATGAATTGATGGTTTTATGTTCAATAAATTTTAGTTCAAAGTCCGGCAGTTTTCAATTCACCAACCCAATAGTAGCGATATCTCTAGCGAGACTAGAGATAGTCTTAAACAGAAGTACGAAAAGAAACAAAAAGACTTTCTGAAGCCTAATATAATATAAAAAAGATTATCTTTCAGATTTTGTGAAGTACTTAGCGAACCGCTCGACTTGTTGACGGAAAATTTGCAGCGACTGATCGCTTACAGTGTCAAATGCACGGCTCAAGATGTCGCCTCAGCAATAAAGGTTCGATTTAAAGAATTTTAGATAATACTATGATAATATTCAGATTTAATACTTTAAATTCTAAATTATAGGCTTACATACTTTAGATATCATTTCCTTTGGATCTTTTCGCTAGTTGTCTTCGTTCTGGGCAAAAAGCTGCGTCGGCTTTTGCAAGGAATGGACCAGGTGAGTGATTTAAAAAGAAATAAAGATATAAGACTTTATAGACTTTCAAAAGACTTTGAGACTTTGAGACTTTGAGACTTTGAGACTTTGAGACTTTGAGACTTTTAAAAATTATATTATATAATACAATTGTTGATATTATATTTATCTAGGCGCCTTGGGCTTAACTCTTTCTCAACGATCCGAGCTTTATTTCCCAGTTGGTCGTTTCTATCGATACATCATCGACAAGCTTCCATCAAAGCCAATTTCAGAGCATGTAAGGCAATTGTTATAAAGATCTTTCAATCACTTTCAATTCAGAGCTTTATTTAGCTTCATAGCTCACTTTCAATTCTTAGCTAAAACGAAATGCTCGCTTTGAAAAGCCCATCAAGCCTATCATCAATATCAACAAAATTTTAGGCTATCATCTTTTTCACTGCCGCTTTGCAATGTGTTCTCGAAGAGTTTGTTTTGAGGCTTGTCGATACGGGTGAGTAATTGTTGTTCTATTGCTCTATTTGGTTCTATTTGATTCTATTTGGTTTAGTTTATTTGGTATACGGTTCTCTTTTAGTCTACAGTTCTATTGCTAAACTTTAGATTCACCAGAGATGCTCAGCTTGTCAAAATTCGAGGAGATTCTGACAGAAAATGGGGGATCTTTGGTTCAATATTTCAATTCATTGGACTCACTTACAGGTGAATTATAATATGGATAAATGAATTTAATTTTTAGCAATGGATTTGCCAGCACCGATCTCTTTTGCCAAATTGGTGGATGCTGTGCACGCCGTGCGAGAGAGAATACTTCACTCAACTGGGAATGCAAAGAAAAGACATCAGTGAGTCGTTATAAAGATAATAAGCACAAGATAATATAGTTATAAAGTCAAATTACAATGTTAGAGTTATCAAGTTATTAAAGAAGTTAAAGAAGTTAAAGAAAAAAACGTTTTAGAGTCCAATTGAGCCGCACTGGGATTCGGAGTCTGCACTATTTTGCTTGTGGGCCTGGAGTGAGACCGTAAGTGCAAATATCATTCAAAATTTTAACATCAAATAAAAGTTACCGTATCTTCTCTAATAGTAGTGCACCCGAGCCGAGTTGATGACGATTTTACGGTTTCCAAGCTTTTGCAGAACCTCAACACTCGAATCCTTCACAAGATCTCATCGTCAGCTACATTTTCCGATCCCACATCGATAGGTTCTGATAAGCGGTTCTCGAGATTCCGAGCAATTTAGGCGACGCTCAGGGTGCACTACTATTAGAGGAAATAGGGTAATAGTTTTTGTTGTTTAACCCATTCGAAACTTCTGCAGCGAATAACCGCTGCAGCGCTAATTGAGCTATTTTTATTCAATTAATTGGTTTTTTTGCTGTTTTTTAGCATTATATTCCAATTGTAACAGATCTACAAATTACGTGGGCAAAAAAGACGTGTCATATTTAATCAATGCAGCCTCTGATTTTCCATTGCAATTTTCCATAACAGCTCTAATCTTATAAAGCCGATCTCCTGCAAGATCCAGTTCATTATCACAAAAATGCAGGTTTCGAAGAATAGATTCAAATTTTGCTCTTGACGTGAGGGACATGTGGGAAAATCCTCCTACTCCAGGCCTGCTACTTCAGTAGTCACGAATCCTCGGTAATTTGACGATTCCCATTTGAAGATACAGAGCCAGGAAGAGCTTGAAAGATTTTACATCGAAATCCTGCCAGTTTGTTTCCTTTTTCCATGTTTATTAGTTCGCCTACTAACATATTGTCGTCGATAATAAGGTCCAAGCAAACCGCTGTTGTCTTCCAACGGGTGCAAGTGAAACGAGGAAACATACGACGAGAAGGGATAAGAAACGTGTTGGGGCCCACCCCCCGTTCAATCGGGGAGCAGAGGCGACCAAAGAGGAGAAGGCCTTCCAATCGTTTCTGAACCTTTGAAGGCCCACTCGCTCTGTGGTCGTGAGAACGTCTCGGGCTCCATTTGGCCCGGCCAGCAACCGCCCCGAGTCGTTGCTGCGCCCGTGGTGGAGTGGAATGACGCGAACGGCTGTCGTTTACCTTAGGGTGCCGGTGAACGGGCTTGACTTCAGTGTCCGAATCCTCGGTAATTTGACGATTCCCATTTGAAGATACAGAGCCAAGAAGAGCTTGAAAGATTTTGCATCGAAATCCTGCCAGTTTGTTTTCCTTTTTCCATGTTTATTAGATTCGCCTACTAACATATTGTCGTCGATAATAAGAATTGATAAGAAGATAAGAATAATAATCGATAGGATCTTGAAAAGTACTGAAGTCAAATCCAAATCGTTCTTCATCAAAAATAAATGGTGTAGAAGACTCTCGCAAATCTTTCCAACCATCTGGATAAACTGCTTCGGACGCATCGTCATCCTCTTCCTCGGATTCCCTTGAACTTGATGACAATACTTCTGGTTGTGGTTGAATTAGTCGATCATCTGATCCATAAATAGACTCCAAATCACTGTCAATAAATAAATAATTGAAAGAATCGTTCAATTCGTGATCCATAACGCTATCTAAAAGAAGAATAACTTAGATTAATATATAGAACTTATCAGATACAATATAAAATAAAACGTCAGCAAAAAAACCGCAGGACCGATGCAGCGAATAATCGTTGCAGCGAAAAAATGTCAAAAAAGGGCTTGGTCCGCAGACGAAAAAAAGAAAAAACGCTGCGGTTTCGAATGGGTTAATTGTAAATAATTGTTTAATGAAATACATTTGAAAGCCTTTTTTTTAGTGAAATAAACAGTGCAACTTTCAGAAACAGCAACATTCAACTAGCAGACTGGGTGCGCTTAATTTATGCGTATGCCGAGCACCGAATGTCTCCAACCGTTGATGAGCTTGATATCATGCAGGTAAGGAGACAAAGTTGGTCAAAACTAGAGTGTCTTCCTCGTGATTAATGCGCTTACTAAAGCGTGCGCTTTAAAAAGGCTACCTTAGGTATATAAATTTGTTTATATGCAAATTTAAACCTTTCATTCATCATTTCCAGGTGTTTTTTTCAGTAGAGCAAAGTATTTGCATCTTTTCTAACATTCTTGATAAATATTTCTCGGGTTTAGATCCGAGAAAATCCATAAATAAACTATTTACAATCAGGTAAATATTAGGTGAATGCATAAGTCTTTACATTTTTTTCCGAACATCATTTAAAAATGATTCTGCGACCAACAAAATTTCTATTTAAACTAGTAAAAAGCTTGATTATTTCTTTGCAAAATGGCTTTTGGGAAATTCTGGAAAGTAATTGTTTTTATGGATTTTCACATGCACAAAGGCAAGACACCCAAAACTGCTCCGATGACTCCTCCGGTGCCAATTTGGATCCTTTCATCAAAATAAACCTATTTTGGTGCCAAAGTAAAAAAGATAGAGCTCATTTGATTACATAAGTCTGTAAAATTTGAAAACGATCTGCCTAACCATTTTCTTTAAAGCAATAATTGAAAATTTTACACAAAAATGCCTTTTTATCGAGCTGAGGTGAGCTTTGAACGTTCTCTAAAAAGCCATTTTATAGAGAAATGATAGATCTTCTTAATAGTTTAAGAATAAATTTGTTAAAGAATTATGGGAAAAGGATTCTATGAAAAAAGGATTCTTTTCCATGAAATTTGAAAGAAATTGTAAAGACTTATGCACCAAATTAATATTATTTATAATAAAATAATCGCAGCTTAAATTGAATTCAATATTGAATCACGAAGAAAACATTCTAGTCATAGATATCAAGAATTAAATTCAAGCTTAACATGTTTAAAGTTTAACAACTTTAAAGTTGAACAAGTTTAAAGTTTAACAAGTTTAAAGTTTAACTAGTTTAAAGTTTAACAAGTTTAAAGTTTAACATGTTTAAAGTTTAACTAGTTTAAAGTTTAACAAGTTTAAAGTTTAACTAGTTTAAAGTTTAACAAAAGTTTTTCAGGCAGCTCGTGTATTACGAGGTGTAGATTGCCCTCCTCCTTCTGTCTCGTTATGCAGAAGGGAACTTATATTGGAGGCAAATCCTCATGAAGCAAAGATCACTTTTGCTTTCAAGTATGTCCTCTTTACTGAAAGTGTTGACTGAAATCAACTATATCGATTCAATGCCAACATCCATATTTAGCTTGATTGCTACCGGGAACCCAGAGAATGCTCGACACGGCATTGCTATGCTCGAAGGTGAACGAACAACGGCCAGGAATCCATTTGTAAGTATCGTAAACGTCAAACGTTAACGTCAAACGTATCACTTCTCAAGTTTTATTGGCTTTTTCATTAATTAGTTTTCTAGGGTATGTGCCCACTTGCTGAATCAGTTGTCCAATCAAACTCCGAAGCCACAACCGCTTTGTTAGCTGCTGGATGGCCAACCGATTTGGCAGTACCAGCTGACAAAAAAGGGTTACCAGAATATGCAGGCTGGACTCCATTAACATGGTACCTCTTGGAAACTTGAAATCTTTCTCATTTCTTTATTTTAGGGCTATTGCCATTCAAAAGCACAACATCGTTAAGATGTTGTTGAATTCGGATGCTAAATTGGATGGAGAAAGTATGATCAACGAATCTCCTTTGCAGGTAAGAAACTCTAATGCACGAGATCTAAAGATTGGCCGATAAATCCGAAAGGTTGGCCAATAAACTTCTTTTTTTAAATCTTTTTTTAAAAAAAAAAATCCTCAACAATCCCCCGGGTTTACTCTGAATAAAAGATGTTTATTATACACTTTTCGATCATTTTAATCATTTTAACGCCAAAAGAATCCGCAAAAACCCGTTTTGCGTAAAATTCGATAAAATGTGATATAGGCTAAACAGATTGTTCTGAAAATTTAGCTATAAACCTAACTTTCTCTTTCTCTTTCTTTTTTTCTATTGACACCCAAATTGGTTACTTGGGATCACAGTGTCTAAATCGCGTAATTGAGTCATAACCATCTTGACTGCCCGAGTTCGCACCTGCGAATAAAAAACCAGAAGCAAAGCATTTCTTAAGATCACTAATCTAATTTCACTAATCTTTTATAGAAAAAGCCAGCGGAAAACGCTCGCTTTGTTCGCGTTTTCCGCTGGCGAAGCTCTTTCTTTCAAATGACTAAAACTAGCATAGCCCATGTTAGGTCCCACCCTTTTTAAAAATAGACCTAAAAGTCAGATTCCCCATAGCTGAAAACCCACGGGAGCACAAGCTGAAGCTGAATACTTTGCCTTTTAACTGATAGAGCAAAAGTAATTACGGAGCGTCGCGTTTGTGCACGGACGGACAGACAGACAGATGTCTCTTCTGCTTTATATTAGGGGTCCTTTTCGTACTCTGTTAAAAGTAACAAATTCACCAATAATCTATAGTTTGCCTATAAAAAGTGTTTTTGTCAATTTGCATCTTTTAATCAATTTGGTTCACTTTCAAGCAAATTCGAGGTGAAAAGCCTTTTCGTAAAATCTATAAAACTCTACGGAAATTGGCTGAATGATTTCTGAAATTTTGGCGAAATATCAACTTTTTCTCTATCTTTTTCTATTGACACGAAGATGGTTTTCTTTAGCTGGTGTCTAACCGCATCATCGGTTGCCCTTTTGACTACCCGACTTCATCTCTCAAGAAAATCCAGGCATAAATATTTTTAACCCGTTTTTGTTATTTTGCGAATAATTGGTTTTCTAATGAAATCAACCGTAGTTTAATTGGTGCATTTGTTGGCTTGACGGCAGACGAAAGGAACGAAAGCTTATGCATCAATATAGTAGATAGCAAGGTTTTCTAATGGAGCAAACCGGAGATCAATAGATGAATTGGTTATTTTCAAATAGCTTTTTAAATGAAGTATCCAAAGACTTATCGGTCAACCTAATAGTATAGTTTTTATCTTGAGTATCATTTTAGATCTCCGTTCAACAAGGTTGCTTGGAGAGTGTACGCCTTTTGCTCGATCGAGGCGCCGATCCGACGAGAGGATGGAGAGCCGAGATGTCCATCGATCAACAGTAAGTGCAAAGTATCTATTATATATAAAATAGCAGTGTCTGTCCGTCCGTCGTATTCTCAGCCGTCTTTAGGCCAAAAAAAGCTGAATTTGAGAACACAACATTGAGTGGCAACAAATTCACCAAAACTCAAAAGTGTTGTCACCCTTTTAAATCCGCCTCAAGCAATTCGGGTGCCCTTTCGGGGGGCCGAACTTGGGCCGTATGGGCCGTAGACAAGCCCGTTCCCGAATGCACCACAGCAACAGAAACGGCCCCAAAACAGCCAGAAAAGCCCGCTGTTAGGCGGGTTTTTCGGCTGGTTTGATTGATAATGAACATGTTTGTAAATATGATTGTTGGTATGATTGTAAGTATCATTGTTAGTATCAACTTGTTTCTCGGTATCTTCTGAAATCCAGTAGAAAAAGATTTATAACCGTCAATTTTAGCATTGGTTGTGTGTCTCCATTGACTGCCTCAACTGTACGCGGAAACAAGACCATTTTGTCAGCTTTGATAACAAAAAGTGAGCTTAATTTTACTCAAACTAGAATCTAAGCTTTATGAACTGAAAACTTGTCTATTTTTCTGAGCCAAGTAATCGTTCTTTAGTGGCCGATCAATCGAATTTCTTGAAGCATCGAAATGGGTCTTTTTCTTCGCAGAACAGCAAGAGCTCTCAAGAAAAGATGTAAGTCACTTGTTAGTTGATATATTAGGTACATGCATAAGAAATGCGGATCTCAACATTTTCATAAATTTCCAACGATAGAAACCTGATATCGATGAATGTTCTAAGCTATTTGAAAGTTGTAAATCTCCTCTACAAAATAGGCTAAAACGTGTTTCAGTTGATCGAACCATTAAAGAAATTCCGAGGTGATTTTCTCCCATTCCCGGCTTAACGAGCACTTCAAAGAGTCCAAACTTTTGTGAGGTTTAGCAAAGGTCCTGGACTCTAAAATCGATCATACACTATAATCCAGCGGGTTGGGATCACAGAATAGGGGCCACTCTCGAGCCGAGATAAAGTCCGGAAGGTTGGTCTTACACGAGTCCTGCGTGTCCTTTACTCTATGGGAAGGTGCACCTGTTGAAAAGTCCAAACTTGACTTCCGAAGTCCTGTTAGGCCCAGGAAAGGACGTGATCTTCAAGAATTTCCTTTCGATCAACATCTTTATTGATTTTGTCACCCTACAAAGTATTAGGTACATGCGAGTGACCAAAAAAGGGCACTTTTTGAAAACCCCACTTTCACAAGAGTCCGGCTTTGACTATATAATGGAAAATGAGCGCCCTAAAATATCATTCAAAATAATTAAGAGTTGGGTCATTTCATGGGAAACTTTGTTTTTCAATTTTTCTTTTTGTGAAGTCGGTTTTTGCTTTTGAGGTTTTTGAACTTACCCTCTATCTAAATTTCTGTAAATGCATTTCCGTTAGACTTTTTAAAATGAATTGATATATAGTTATTCTTTTTTAAAATCTTCAATTTTGGGAAGCTAACTCTATTTTGACCACACTAAACTTGTCCCTAAAGTGACTCGATTCCTTTTTTGGTCACATCCAACTTTGAGCTCAATTATCTTGGTGTTAGGCTGTTCAATTGAAACATTCTTGGTATCATTAGATGCGTCAAGTCTTTCTCTATCGATTGGTAGAAAAACTATTTCAATTGAACAGCCGAACACTAAGATATTTGAGCTCAGAGTTGGATTGTCAATGGCAAAAGGGGCGGTCAAAAAGTGCCCTTTTTTGGTCACTCGCATTTCGCCCTCGAAATTTCTTCAATGGTTCGATCAATTGAAACACGTTTTAGCCTATTTTGTAGAGGAGATTTACAACTTTCAAATAGTTTATAACATTCATCGATATCAGATTTCTATCGTTGGAAATTTATGAAAATGTTGAAATCCGCATTTCTTCTGCATTTTGCTATGCTAATATATGTTTATATATAATATTAAAATAAATTAATATTTCAAAATCATCCATGTTTAGCTGTGAGTACGATTCATTGATTGATAGTGGAAAAAGAGCTCTCCGAGAAGCACTTTATTATGCTGTTGAAACAGAACGACTCGACATTGCAATAGTTCTTCGCCAACTCGGTATGACAAAACGTTAAACTTTAAGACAAAAGGTTTAAGACAAAACTTAAAACTTAAAACTTAAAACTTCCTCAAATTTAAATCTATTTTACAACTTTCATTCCAGTCGAAGGTCTGCCTTGGTCAACTTTTCTTTGGACTAGAGCTCTTGAATCAGCCTTGCTAAAATCAGAACCAAAGTTCGTGCAATCAATTCTCTCCGATTTTGGCCCAAACATTGCAGCTGAGTTGAACGAGGACAACTTGGCTAGAACTCTGACAGTGGTATGTATTCTTTGTAAAAACGAATAGAATAATAAACTCTAGATTTTAAAAGCATTGCAACATGAACTTTCGTATCCTGATGGCGATCCATCAAACGCAGCTCTTGCTCTTTCGAGATTACATCATTATTTTAAAGAAGAAGTTCCAGATCATGGTATTTTGTGCAGAAAATTGAATTGCTGAGTTGTATTTTAGGTGCAGCAGGAGCGCCATTACATCGAAACATCATTGATCCAAGTTTTGTGAACAGTGAACAACTATCGGACATTCGGTTCCAGGTTTGTGACTTGGAGAAGGACATTGTTATTAAAATTGTTATTGAAATTGAAGGAAATTGAAACCAGGAATAGGCAAATTTTAGGTAGAAGGCAAGCTTGTTTTTGGTCATCGAATCGTTCTCGTCAACGCCTCGGATCGTTTCCGTCACCTATTGCAGAGTCCTGATGGGGTGATAATGATCAATGATGTGTCGTGTAATGTTTTCTTGGTGAGTTGATTGAGAAACAAGCCACCAATTTTGGTTATAAGTCATTATAGCTGTTTACACAAGCAGCAAGTATCAATTTCCAGTGCTTGATGGAATTTGTCTACACCGGTCGTCTCTCTTCATCAATGAAAGCAGTCGGCCAACTTTTCCAAGTTCTGACAGCCGCTCAAGCATTTGGATTGCCAACTTTAGAAGTAAAAGAGTCATCTTTTTAACACAATATGGCCCACCAGTTGGCCGCACGTGGATTTAGCACTTTTTTTTGAGATTGTGGGGCATTTGATACAGCTCCGCCTCTTTTGCCATTAGCAATCTGACTTTGAGCTCAATTATCTTGGTATTGGGTTGTTCAATTTCAATATTCTTTATATCATTAGATGCGCCAAGTTTTTCTCTCTTGGTTGGTATAAAAACTATTTGAATTGGACAACCCATCACCAAAGTATTTGAGCTTAAAGTTAGATTGCCAATGGCAAAGGCCCGAGCGACGGACCTTTTATACGCGCCCCACCCCCATTGCCATTGGCAATCCAACTTTGAGCTCAAATACCTTGGTGATGGGTTGTTCAATTTAAATAGTTTTTGTACCAATCGACAGAGAAAGACTTGCCGCATCTAATGATACCAAGAATATTTAGATTTGACTGCCGAACACCAATATATTTGAGCTCAAAGTTAGATTGCCAATGGCAAAAGAGGCGGGGCTGTATCAAATGTCCGATAACCCTTTTTGAGGCTGATTTGTCTGAAAATTTTCACCAGAGGTTTTCAGGGTCAAGGAATTCGAATCCGTTATTAGTTTTTAAAGAAAACTCCTCTATCTTTAGATATTTCATTCGATTTAATTACCCAAGTTTTAGAGAGTTTTGTGATGTTGTGGCTTAGAAGTTAAAGTTGCTCAAAAGCTAATAACGGATTCAGATTCTTCATCCTAGAATGCCTCTGGTTACGAATTTTTAGGCCTACAGCTAACATAGATCGCTGAGCCTAAGCCTAAGCCTGAGCTAAGCCAAAAATGACTTTGTCGTAAATGTGTTAAACTTTTGAACACTTTTAACATCAACTACTCGCTCAGGAGTAAAGCATCCAAATCCACACCACTTTAGGCTGAGGTCCTCCGTGTTCTGACTCACTCAATCGATGTCGAGAATTTCGCCGACCTCTACACCTTTGCCATGGTAATTTGCGAGTTTTGCTTACTGATCTAATGATCGATTTAGCATCACCAAAATGAAACTCTTCTAAAGCCATGTGAACATTTTCTTCTCCTTCATCTTCCCGTGCTTTGCTCAGGTAATACTTTTAAAGCAGAAAGTGCGAAAAAATATACAAGACTATTCAGATCCTCGCCTTTCAATTCTTTTCCTTCAACCACCGCCCAATTACGACGTTTGTGTAGCGTTGAGAGATCGCTTGTCTGCTGGTATTGTAAAAGAAAAAAAGAACAACTTGTTTTAAACCAGAACAATGATTTTAAGAATTCTCCGAGTGCCGTCGACGTTTGCCTACTGGATAACTGCTTCAAAAATGTTTCATGAATAAATATTTGTACCTTACATCAAAGAAAACAGTTTACACATTGCATGGTGCGTAAAAAGTTCTGTCCCCTCCAAAAAAGATCACTTTTACGTTGTTTTTTCAAGTTTTCAAGACTCAAAACCTATAAAATTAGATGTTTCAGGTATTTTTACGCTAGTAAATTGTTTCATTTCTTCTATTTTACTCAAATAGAAAATGTTATAGAACTTTTTCTGGCAACATTTGAGGTACCCTCTGGTCGCAGGCTAAAATAGCTTTTCAAAGCACTTTTCAATGACTATTTAGTTAATAAAACATTGTCCTGAGAACTTTTTAACATCATTCATATCTGGCTAGCCATAGTTCCGTATGAAATTTTGCTTTTACAATTTGTTGTAAAAGTGTAAACTTTACCGGTGATATTCAGGGAGTTGTACAAGCAGCTGTAATGGGTGGAGACAAGAATTATGAGGTAGTAAAGGAAAAATTTTAGTTTGAACTTGAATTAGGTGTTCTTTGACGAGAAATGCTCAAATATCTATGATGCTGAAGAGAAAGGAATGTGTTTGGAGTTGCGACGATTGATCATCGATCAGGTAGAATATACTTGTTACCATTAGTATTGACTCTGTGCTAACTGTACGATGTAATTGTACAATAGTTGAGTGGGTCTACAGTTTATTGAAGCTTATAGAACTTTTTCTGGCAACATTTGAGGTACTCTCTGGTCAAAATAGCTTTTTAGCTTTGTAGCTTTCTAGCTTTGTAGCTTTCTAGCTTTGTAGCTTTCTAGCTTTGTAGCTTTCTAGCTTTGTAGCTTTCTAGCTTTGTAGCAAATTAGAATTTGGTATTTTCAAAAGTTTTTAGTAACTATTTAACTTTCAAAAGTGTCTTTTATAATTTATTACGGTTTTAAATTTACATTTGAGCATTCTCGTCCTCATTGAAGGTCCCTCTTCAGATCGACTTGTGCAGTTTTGAAATCTGATTTAATTCACCTCTTTTCAAAAGAAACCCAAATTGTAAAAGCAAAATTCCATACGGAATTATGGCTAGCCAGATATGAATGATGTTAAAAAGTTCTCAGGACAATGTTTTATTAACTAAATAGTCATTGAAAAGTGCTTTGAAAAGCTATTTTAGCCTCCGACTAGACTAGAGGGTACCTCAAATGTTGCCATAAAAAGTTCTATAACATTTTCTATTTGAGTAAAATAGAAGATATGAAACAATTTACTAGCGTAAAAATACTTTAAACATCTAATTTTATAGGTTTTGAGTCTTGAAAACTTGAAAAAACAACGTAAAAGTGATAGGGGACAGAACTTTTTACGCACCTGTTTCACACCATCTTATTTTTGCCTGTTACTATGTCATTTTGCATCTCTAAACCTTAAAACAAAACTCAGTTTTCAAATTAAAAAACAACTTTTCATTCAATCGATTCTTAGCTTGCTTTTTGCCAACTTTTTATTTCAAAATTTGTGTTTGAACAAACGGATTTCATTACAGAAAAACCAAATCCACGGTTTCTGATTAAAAAAATTGATTTCATTCTTTGAATTCATTCAAAAACATTTCATTTATTTATGAATAAACAACGGATTGTCGAAGTCATATTGTTAATCACTATCATTTCACTCGTTGCTTTGTTTCAGCTAACAGATTTTCCGAATTCAGTCCTGAGTCTTGATTTAATCTCTAAGCCAATCTTGCCGAATTTCCAAACCACTGACAAATCGAGAGCTGATGAAAAGGTAACAAAAGTTAAAGTTAACGTAAAAAACATTGAATTTTTAGAAGCCGCCATATATTGGAACCAAAGAGAAAACAGGCAATGGTATTAACGACACGAACAAAATAAATTTGGCAAGCTTTGAGCAAGATAGCAAGGTAGCTTTCTGAGTTCGATTTACTGATGAAATTTGTTTTTATTTAGTCTTTTGACAGTGCATCCAACATTTACGTGTCTCTTGGCTCAAACGCAAATTCGGATGTGATGGATGCGTTGCCGCTTGTTGTTATGTCTTGGCTAAAACTCGGGATTAAATGTAGGTTCAGAACTAACAAGGGAAAGACACCAAGTCTCGATGTTTTTGAATCGAGACCAAGTCCATCTTATAGAGTCGATCATGGAGATTTCGAATCCGCTTTTACTTTTTGCAGGACGCTTTGCAAACACGAGATATTTAGCATAGAAAATCACCTTGAATTTCGAGCTCCTTATGAGGCCGTCACACGCTTCCTAACAACTGCTTCAGTGGATAGTCTGCTAGCCTAGTGGATAGTCTGCAGACTAGTGGATAGTCTGCTAGACTAGTGGATAGTCTGCTAGCCTAGTGGATAGTCTGCAGACTAGTGGATAGTCTGCTCGCCTAGTGGATAGTCTGCTAGCCTAGTGGATAGTCTGCAGACTAGTGGATAGTCTGCTAGCCTAGTGGATAGTCTGCTAGCCTAGTGGATAGTCTGCTAGACTAGTGGATAGTCTGCTAGACTAGTCGATAGTCTGCTAGACTAGTCGATAGTCTGCTAGACTAGTCGATAGTCTGCTAGACTAGTCGATAGTCTGCTATACTAGTGGATAGTCTGCTAGACTACTGAACCTGTCAAGCTTTTTGCTCCCTAGTTCGAGTCCCACTATCGCCAAACTTTTTTAAAAAGCCCCTTTCTTGATGTTTAAAACTATTTCCATTAAATTATTGACTCGAGTTTTATACACCGCTCGCTGTGATCTACTATTTATAAAGCAGAAGAAACGTCTGTCTGTCCATCCGTCCGTCCGTCCGTCCGTATTTTCATTCTCCTAATAATCCTTTGTCTTTGATCTAATTTTATTGTTCCGTTTTGAGCAATCCTACACTCTTCTTGTTTTTGACCAATTCACTCCATATTTGTCATCGAATACCATGCCACTTTGCTGGGAAACATTGACACGAGGGAGAATGTTTGAGCAGCCGGACACGCCATTCCTTTCCTAATTTCCCTGTTCTTTTCTTAAATTTTATTCGTCTCAAGCGAATTTCTTCTTTTTTTCTTTAGGTCAGTACAAATGCCAGCAAGATTTTTGAAGACAAATTACAACATAGCCTTACAACATACTCCCCAGAGTTTTGAGAGAGTCCAATAATCTTGAAACCTTTAAATTATCTGTAGATAATCTTGATCTTGAAGCTAAAGACAAAGCTAAAGCAGCTTTTCGGAGCACTGAGCACACTAGAAAATGGTCAGCGCAGAAAAAAAGCGAAATTGGGTTGGTGAATTGAAAACTGCGACGGGACTTTGAACTAAAATTTCTTCAACATAAAAACATCAATTCATTCCAAATAATTTCCATTATTATTGACGACTTCTGTCCATTTTACAGGCAATTTGCGGATTCCTCTTTCGTGGTAGGATTTTGGTTTGTGTGTGAGACAAGTGTGAGACAAGTGGGAGACTCAAAAATGGAGGACCGGAGATGTCCCAGTTTGAGCATTTGAGTACTTTCTTCAAAAGAAACCCATTTTGGTGTCAATGGAAAAGTTGTAGAGAATCAAAAATTAGGCTTATAGCCAAATTTCCAAAACGATACACTTAGTAGTTTCGCTTAAAATGCAAGTTTTGTGAAAATTCGTAAATTTGGCATTTCTTGAAAACCAGTTTTTGAATCGTTCTGAAAATTTGAATATAAGCTTGATTTTTGATTCTCTACAACTTTTCCATTGACACCAAAATGGGTTTCTTTTGAAGCAAGTGCTCAAACTGTGACATATGACAATAGCCGGCAGTTTTCAATTCACCAACCCAATAATATCAAAGAAACATATTCTCTTGGTGATACAAGGATTTCACGGGCATGTAAAAGCCAGGTTTTTTAAGCTGAACGTTCTTGGCGAATTCACCAACCCAATAGATGCGAGATCTAGAAACGTGAAGCTAGCCAAATCAAAAAGAGCCAAGCAAAAATTGTACACAACTTTAGCTCTCCTCTGTCTGATCGGCACAGAAGACGTATACAAAGCGGACAAGAAACTGAGTTTGATCTTGAGTTATCTAAGAAAGTTCGATGTGACAATCACTTTTATCCCGGGCCCTTTTGTCTTGAATGAGATCACTCTTGCCCAGGTTTTGCTTCGCTGAATTTTTAAGAGAAATATTTCAGAATTGTAGATTATTTGCCGCAAAATCTAAGCTACCATTGTCACCCGATGATGTCATCATAACATCGGATATTGATTATTTACCATTTCACAAGGAGATGCATTGGTTAAATGATGTGGATGTGAGTTTGTGAATGAAAAACCCTTAAAATCAATCCTAAATCAATCCTAAATCAATCCTAAATCAATCCTAATGCAGATCTTCACTTACAACACGCTCTGCTGTGGATTTGTGACCGTTAAAAACAGCAAAGTTCAACATTATCCAGTAACAACAATAGGAATGAGAGTGAAGACGTGGAAAGAGATTCTCGGTAAAGAGATTCAATAAATAATCACAGGGAAATTTTATAGTTTATTCAAAAGCCCGCTACGAAGATGCGCTTTCAATAGAGCAAGCTTTGAACAAGACTCTGGATTCGAAATACTTTGATGAAAGTAGGTTTTAAGTTTTTGATCAAAGCAAAACCTTGACTAAATTCAACTTTACGGTCTGATCGAGAATCGAAACCAATCTTGGTTTTTATGTTTTCCCCCAAAATGCACAAAAAACACACAATTCTGAGGGGGAGACGTTTTTAAAGAAAGGAAAATGAAAAAAAATCGTTAGTAAGTGCATTTTACGGTCTAGGGCATTTAAAACACAATTTGTACTTAATTATCCTTTCAAATTTTCATTTTCCACCCCATTCGATGACCTTTACTTTTATTTTTACATTTTATTGTATTTCTTTTAACTTTTTATGATTTCTTTTTACTTTTTATGATTTCCTTTTCATTTAATAATGTTTTTCTTTTAGAATGCACGTGACCGATCTCGTTAAAGCGTCTGCTAATCCGAATGTCTTCACATCTTGTGGGAAATCTTGCATGCTACATGTTCTTCAAAGCTTGTGACACTAGGGGCAAGGATCGATCTTTGGAGTTGGCTTGTGACAGCTTGTGACACTAGGGGCAAGGATCAATCTTTGGAGCTTTTCAAAATGGATCGATCTTTGGAGTTGGCTTGTGACAGCTTGTGACACTAGGGGCAAGGATCGATCTTTGGAGTTTTTCAAAATCGCAGCGTCGCTTTACAACTCGATTGTGGTGCAAGTTGATCCAGAAGACGAGGAAAACGAAGAAGTCATGGGTGCCGCAGAACTGAATCGAGGCAACATTTGTCGCCACCATCGAGTTGTAAAGGGACGCTGCGATTTTGAAAAACTCCAAAGATCGATCCTTGTCCCTAGTGTCACAAGCTTTGAAGAACTCGTAGCATGCAAGATTTCCCACATTCTTATAGTCGCCCGGCCGTGATAGGGGCTATGATTTTCACTTTTTTTTCGTTCATTTTTGTTATTTGGTCTGAGTTTATAGTTAAATGTTCATTTTTAGAACAATAAAACTAAAACTTATCTTTTTTGTGCCTTCTAGCATGAGGGAAAACATAAAAACCAGGTTTTGTTGGAAACCTCGATCGTAAACTTGAATTCTATCCAAATCTTAACTTTAGAGTACTTTAATTTAACGAAAGGCAAGGGTATAAAACATACCAATGCTTGGTACGCTGATCAAGCCTACATTTCGTATCATATTTTTGTTTGGCATAAGAGGTGAGTAAATCAAAAGGAAAATATGAATCAAAATCTTTCAGAAAGTATGATCAAATCAAAATGGGTTCATGGGCTCAAATCAGGATTCGAATTGATCGATGGAAGTGGCCACGGAAAGATCAATTGGAAAAAGTTCGTATCTAGAGAATTTGTAGGCTTAAATCGTTAAATTCCTTAATTTTTTGGGTTCTTAGCACTCGTTGATGTGTTGATGGACTTTATTGGTAATAGATTTGATACTATTTAACACAAAATCATTTTTGGCTTGGCACGACAGTGCTATGTTAACTGTGGACCTGAAAGCTTGTAACTGGAGGCATTCTAGGATCGAGAACCTGAATTCGTTATTAGTTTTTGAGTAACTTTAATTTCTAACGAGCTGACAAATGAACATTTTACATGTTTATCAAACTGTTTATCAAATCAAACTCCGATTTCAGCTAAGAATCGAAATGTTCAACGATGCTCACCTCATTCGCCCATTGATGCCAAAATGGGATGACGTTCGACCGCTTTTCGTCAAAATCTTCTCAGAAGATTATATGAAAATAGCTGATGAATACGCTAATGAATATTTAAAACTATAACTCAATGAAATAAATAGTAAAAAGGTTAATTTGTTAAAAGAACATTTGTAAACAAATGAAAAGACAACGCAAATCCGCGCGAAATAAGGCAAAAAATCGTTTTCTATAGGATTTTTGAATAGCCGATTGACGCAGAAAAATGTGTTGAATCTGAAAATAAAAGAATTTTTGAAATCCCTGCGACAAATTTTTTAAAAATCGAGTTTTAGTGATTTTACCGTGTTAAATTTCGGCTATATTTTATTGTCGGAACAAAATCTTTGAAAACAAAAGCCTAAAACAAAAATGTAAACCGCAAGCTTTATTCTACGGGGTTTTCTCTATCTTTTGATACCAAAAGCATAAAAATTGATAAGCCCTATAAAAAGTTATAACCTTTTGAAAATAAAAATGTGGTTTCTGGGTTATGGCACACTATAACGCGGATAAATTACCGTAACCCGAAAGGGAAAAAGAGCAAAATTAAACCTCTGCGGATTTAATTTAAGTTGTTTTTAAGGGGTGGGACAAATGCGACCTGGACATTTGCGACTTTTGCGCACCTGGACATTTGCGCACCTTTTTTTTTGCTGGAAAAGGCCTTAGGAAAGGTCGTAGAGCTTCAAAAATGTTTCCATAGAAGGGAATCGTATGCGTAGATTCCGAATTTCGACAAATCAGACCTCGCTGACACGTCAAATTTGGGCTAAAAGGCAAAAACTACGCAACTTAACGCTTTTCTGCTTTTCCGCTCAACTTAACGCTCCTGCGTAGCAGCCCTTTCTAAAATTTCTTTTCTGCATAAAAGCTTTCAATCAAGTGCTATAGAGCTGGAAAATGGCTCAAAAATACCACATGAGCTAACAGATTTTTGAGCCATTTTCCAGCTCTATAGCACTTGATTGAAAGCTTTTATGCGGAAAAGAAATTTTAAAAAGGGCTGCTACGCAGAAGTACGCGATGATACTCTTTACCCGGTCTTCTATTCGAAGAAATACGTTAAGTCGGCACTTGTGGGGTATCCGGGGGGTCTTTCAATATCCGGGGTGGTAAAATTTTAAGATCCGGTGGGATAAAATTTTATATACTTTATATACGACCCCTTTTAAAGATATTCAGCCGCTTAAGTGATTTGGTGGCAAATTCCCTTCAAATGTAAAGATATTCAATTTATTCGAGGTGATTACTTGATTACGTGATTCGAGGTGATACTCGATCAAAAACGTAACTTCTACAAAATTTTTTTATGTCATTATTAATGTTGATACTATCCTAGTTGGCGGGTCACTTTTTTTTCTTCAAAACCATTTTTTGGGGTAGTTTTATGTGTTGATATTTGGCCTCCTGGCCTAGAAGTAAATTCGATAGATTTTTACAAGTAGTACTCATTGTCACTGTTACAAATAGTCACTGTTGTACAAATAGTCACAAATTTATTTAATTATTATGTTTGGTTTATGTTTATGTTCTTGCATTACTTGTGCATCTTGTTTACCCCGGATCTTAAAATTTTACCCCACCGGATATTGAAAGACCCCCCGGATACTCCACAAGTACCGTTATAGCTTTACATTTATATTATAGCTTTACTTCACTTTTTTATCTTTTTTACTACAATTGTTGTTTTAGCTTTTGACTTATTATTGGTCATGATTTTTGTTTTTTCAGGTAATGCCGCGTGGAAAGCCAACATTTGTTATTGTTGAATTTGCTCAATTTGGAGAAACTATTTGTAACAAGGATGTCCAGATTGCGAAAAACTTTTGAGCGATCAAAAAGCAGCACAAGAAAGAAAGATTGAATGGACAACAAATGGATCGAACATGACAGTATGTTGAGAAGGGCTTTGATCGACTTTGAGAAAGACAGAATCGATGCGAAAAAAGCTCAAGGACTGTCAAATCGACAAATCGCTCAAGATTTGAATAGGAACCACGAAGTGATCAACTTATTTGTCAACGATCCGATGGGATATGGAACAGCAATCCACCGTGGTCGGCTATCTTCAATCGCCGATCGAGAAAAGCGGCTAATTCTTCGTACTTCCGTTTAAAACCAACAAATGCACCAATAAAACTACGGTTTGTTTCATTAGAAAGGGCAATTATTTTTCGATAAAATAACATTAAAATGGGTTTAAAATGCCTGACCTCTGGAATCTTTTTGGGTCAGTGAAGTCGGGTAGTCAAAAGGAGCGTTCAATGATGCGGTTTAGACACTTTAGCTAAGGAAACCTATCTTGGTGTCAATAGATAAAAGAAAGAACACAAAAAGTTAGATATATAGCCAAATTTTCAGAGAAATTGATTAAGCCAATTTCATCGTAGAGGTTTTTATAGATTTTTACGAAAAAGATGCGAAAAACGCTTTTTCACTCGCGAATTTGCTTTAAAGTGAACCCAAATTGACTTAAAAAGATGAAAAATTGAACAATAAACACTTTTTATTTAGAGCAAACCGTAGGTTAATTGGTGAATTTGTTATTTTTAAACGAAAAAGATGAAAAGGAACGAAAAGAGTTTTTGGACAGCTTAATAAAAAGAAATATTATAGAAGTTTATGTGTTAAATTAGGTACATGAGTTGGATATTTTAACCTCAACTCATCAAGCTATCAAGCAACTCAATAATAATAATAATAATAATAAAAATCAAGCCTCAACAAGACCAGCTCTCGCCCCGGCAGTCGAACCAGTCATCATCCACCGACCCTGAGACGACAATCGGCCCTTCCGACCACGAAAACACGAATGAATTCTTGATTTTCAACTATGAAACTAGAAACTGTCGTTGTTCATTCTAAGTCAAGCTATTGTTATTGTTCCCTAACAATAAGCTCTAAGGTCTGCATCTGAAAAAAGTATTTCATTGCTTTGAGATTTTACAACAACACTTACTCATTAATCCAATCTTTGTATATCGCAAGTACAATGTGCTCAACCAACAACATCGTTTTTTGATCGGTTTTAAGCTGGGTAATCACTTGAAACGTCAAAACTTTTGTGTATTTAGTTGTGCGAGCCATGTGTGGCTGAAGTGAGGAATGTGAGATTTCAGAGATTTTTGCTGGTGGTCGAAAAAAAAAACCGGAAAACGGTCAACAAAGCTGCTAACAATTTTGTTTGTCAAAGTACGGGAAATAGGTGGCAATTGAATCATTTATTATAGCTTTCAGAAAGGAATTTGTTTTTAGCTTTCGATGAACTCTGTGTTACTGATTTTATTTTTGGGGCTAACAATCGTTTATTCGGTTATCAACCTTTTCGGAAATGATTTTACAACGATTTTGCAACACTCAAAACCGATAAAAGCTGATCGGATCTTGGAAAGCAAAGATGTATGCTAATTCAAGGCCTTTAAAGGAATTATTTTCTTTTTAGAATGAATCAACAATATCCTCAGAACCTTTGCCTTCAAATGATGAGATTTTTGTCTCATTTGGTGGAAATGCGGACCCATATTTTATCGATGCGCTTCCAATAGTTGCTATGGCGTGGATTCAACTTGGAGTTAGACGTAAGTTGTCAAAATGTTATCCAGAAATCAAGTAAATCAGCCGAATTGCCTTTGACCATCAAAATAACTAACTAGTTATCTATAATAACAACAAAATAACTGTTTACGGATTTTTTAGCGCTGGTCTGCTTGGTTGGATCGAAAGAAGACTACCAAAGCAACGAATTGAAGCCTATAATCGAATATCTAGAGAAACTCAATGTCACAGTGACATATTTGCCTGGGAATTACACTTTGAAAACAGCATCTCTATCACAAGTAAATAGAAATCAAGGTTTTAAGTTTAAAAAAACTCTTATAGCATTGCCGTCTTTATGCAGCTACCTCAAACTTGGTGTCCTTGGACTCGGTGGTGATCGTTTCCGACATTGACTATATTCCTTTCCATTTGAATGAGCATTGGGTGGAAGATGTTGATGTGAGTACTTTTAAGGGGTAGATATGAGCTGGGATGGGAGAGATAGGATGGCCAAAAGCGAGGTGTGGCCAAAATCATTATACTGCCCTGCTAATTGTGTGCAATAAAGGGTTAAAGGTGATAGGATACGACAAAAACACTGCCAATCGATTCCCCGGCACCGAAAATCCCTGGGTACGAATTTGTAGCTTTAAATCTCTTCTGGGAAGTATTTTCAGAACAAAAGAAGATTCACTGTGTAATATGACTGCCGAGGTGTTCTTTGGGTGCGTAATCGCTCGCGATCTGGAACAAGACCTCCCTACATAACCCGGGAAAGTCGTTTCCTTATCGGGTTGTGGTCCTATGGGTCAGTCTGGGAACCAATTTAGTCATAAGTCCCATAAGGGTGGCACAATCCCAAAAGCAGCCCTTTAATCGGCCAATTGGTTGGTTCAGCGTACCTGAGTACTGACTGATTCAAACGGTAATAGCATTCAAGAATACTAGATTTATGATTCGCTTTTATGATCCACGCAAGTGGTGGTTGTGCACAAGTTGCAGCTCTACTTGCAGTATTGAGCCCGTTGAGCGGCGGTGTAAGCGGAATCTGTGCAGAAATCGTTGCCCACCAATGATAGTGTCGGTAAAGAACTAGGTAGCAACAAAAGGTGAAATTCATAAGGGTATGTATAATAGAAAGCTAATTTATTAGGATGTCAATAGGACTTTTATTTTTTTACTTTTTTATTTAGAGCAAACCATAGGTTAATTGGTTATTTTATTATTTTTCAACGAAAAAGATGAAAAGGATGAAAAGGAAAGGCATGAAAAGGAACGAAAAGTCTTTCTGGACAGAAAAGAAACGAAAAGGAACGAAAAGACTCGTAATCTGTAAACTATCTCATTGTATTTAGCTCTTCATCTACAATTCGTTGTGTTGTGGAGAAACGGAGATGTTCGAGCACAAGTTTCCACATTATCCAATCTCGACAATTGCTTTGAGGAAGCGAGGCTGGCTAGAGCTTTTGGGTAACAAATCTATTTTTATCGATCTATCGACGGAATTTCAGAGCTATCTCATGCCACTTACGAAAACGGGACTTCAATAGAAGGAGATCTCTTGGCTTTTTTCGATAAGGATATGCTCGATGAACGTTGGTTGCCTTTGTTAAAGCTGTTAAAGTTAAAACAGATAGATGAACCATTTGAGTACTGAATTTAGATTACTTTCGCCTGCAACTCTTCAGAGAGTTGCAAGGACATCCATTTTGGTATTCCGATCAAAAGTTAACTTCATTTCGGATCTTTGATTGGAAAAGGAGGTACGTCATGGGAAATGTTTCCGAAATAAGTGATTTTAGAACAAAAAGGGTCATCCGAACGGGAGAATATAATGGAAACAAGGAGAGAATCGATCGAGATAACTGGCCTAGTGATCAGATTTTGGATACGGTAATACGGAAATACAGTAGACATGAACATTAGAAACTACAAAAGTGACAAACTGTTACACTAAAAACGCTTCTAACTTGCTTCAAATCTGCCAGATTGACATAATCTATAGCTCAAAAAATAGAGAATCTCAAGAGCTATTGAATGGACTAAAGCAAAGCAAATATCCATGCCAAAGAAAGTTACAGTGATTTGTAGTTACTCGATCACTTCGACTACGTGCGAGTACGGTCCATTTCGAGCTACAAACTACTGTAACTTTCTTTGGCATTGATATTTGCTTTGCTTTAGTCCATTCGAAAGCTCTTGAGATTTTCTATTTTTTGAGTTATAGATCATGTCAGTCTGGCAGATTTGAAGCAGGTTAGAAGCGTTTTTAGTGAAACTGTTCGTCACTTTTGTAGTTTATAGTGTACCTGTGCACTCGGTTCGGTTTTCGGTCTAGGTCCGGTCCCGGTCCGGACCGGACCGAGTTCGGTCCGACCGGACTGAGATCGGACCGAAAAACTAGGGCTTCGGTCCAGACCGAACCGAGATCGGACCGAAAATTGGGTCTTCGGTCCGGACCGGTCCGAGATTGGGCCGCCTGATACGGACCGAGTGCACATTTCTAGTTTATAGTGCCAATTTCTAGAGAGTGCCCGTTTATTAGAGTTTTTACGGTAATTTAGATCAATCTCTACGATTTCAACGATGCCCATCTCCTTCGACCAATCTCTGCAAATTGGTACCGCTTGCAAGCGTTCTTCAAGAAATTATTCAAGCCCGACCTCTATCAAATAGCTGAATCGTATGGGCTTAAAATGAACGCTTTATCGAGGACTTACATTCGCATGAGAGAACCAAGTCCAATCGTCTAATTGGTTGTGCAATGAGCTTCCCTCAAGCTTACAAACCGATTTTTAGGTCCTTTTTTGTGTCTTTAGCTCACATTTGGTGCCATTTTAAATACATAAGTTAACTAATAAACATTTTACAGCTGTTCTTGCAAGAAAAACTAAGATCATTGTATCATTGGTTGATCTTTTCTCTTTTTGATGAATCTTTCATGAATCGTTGCCTCACTACGAGCCTTTTTTTTGTAGTGTAGTGTTGTCTGTTCTTTTCCAGTGAACTATTTGTTCAATTTATTTGCCAGCTCTATAATAATTGTATTGTTTTGTCATTAATTTTTCGATAATTCAGGAAAAATGATACATTTGCTTTAAAGCTCCACAAAATTTGCATTTGAAAAATAGATTTTTTTGAAAAGCAATAATGTGATACAAACAAAAATCATAAGACATAAATAATAAGATAAATAAGAAGACTCTAGAAGACTCTAAAGGTCTAAACACACAATTTTATGGCACTGCGACCGTTATCCCTATTACCCCTATTATCCTAAATGTTGTAAAAGAAAAAAACCACTTGGTGAGAAAAAGAAACATTATGGGACAATTTATATACGCCCCGCCCCTTTTCCCATTAGCAATCTTCAGAATAATGAAATTGAACAGCCCAACACCGAGAAATTTGAGCTCAAAGTTGGATGCGCCAACTCTTTCTCAGTAAAAGAAATAAGCTCACTTGGTGGGGAAAAAGAAACATTTTGATCTTGCCAGCGTAATCCCCTCGACCTCCCGCCTAAGAGACAAGACATAAGTTAACTAATAAACATTTTACAGCTATTCTTGCAAGAAAAATTAAGATCATTGTATCATTGATTGATCTTTTCTCTTTTATCTTTTACCTTTTATCACTCCTAACCTGTCGGCCATCTGGCCAACCGGTTCAAAAACAGAAAAAAGAACCTCTGCATCATTTGCAATATATCCCCGCAATATGCAATATATTGCAATTTGCCTACAAGAACTCAATGATCATTTGTTGAGTTACTTTGCGGAGTTAATGGTTAAGTTCGAAGTGAAAAATGATATTTTATTTGAATGGATTTACAACCAAATTGTGCTGCAATGGCCTCTAGAAATCATGCTTACGAGTTTCTAGTGAATTTTACGAGTTTTTGTGTTCGTTTTTGAAACTTAAACTTTATGGGGACATAACGCAAATGATGCAGGCAAATTTTTAAATGCAAATGATGCATGGGTTCTCTTTGTGGGGATATAACACAAAAGTATCGGGAAAATTTCAAACCTGAATCTTGAACACGAATTGCATTTAAATCTATAGCTGTCAATTCGCATAACTTTATTCAAAGAAATTTCTGATTTCTTTTCAGCTTTTTTGTTGATTTGTTTTCACCTAATCATTAAATTTGGTTGTGTAAATCTTTTAACACATTCACAACAAAGTCATTTTTGGCTTGGCTACCGTTTTGGACGACAGTTACCGTAAATATTCTAATACAGGAGCCTCCTAGCGTCGGAGCGTCGCGTAGTCTCAGTTTACTCTCAAACAAACGCTCATATCTCAACACCAGTACGTTTGTTTCTGCACGCTTTGGTATCGAATTAAAGTAGAGAAAATGGGTAATTTTTTCATGTAGAAAATATATTTTTAACACTAACCAGCGCTTAGAACAAAACGATTGAAAAAGTAAAAAAACCGATTTTTCATCATTTTTTCTAAGGTTAATGTTAAAAATGTATGTTCTATACCAAAAAAATATCCATTTTCTTTACTTTAATTTGATATTTAATCGCGAAGAAACAAACGTACTGGTGCTGAGAAATAAGCGGTTTAAAAAGATGACTCTTTTACTTCTACAGTTGACAGGCTTCAACGGATGCCAGAACTTGGAAAAGTCACCGAATGTGTTAAAATCAATGCTTCTTGTATCAACAGCATCCATAAAGCCCTTTGTTCAATAAAATCGGTGCAACTCAACACAGAAATGTCATTAGTCTCAAAAAAAAGAGAACTAAAGCTTTTGTGCTATTTTTTCATTTTCATTCTCCTAATAATCCTTTGTCTTTGATCCGATTTTATTGTTCCGTTTTGAGCAATCCTACACTCTTCTTGTTTTTGACCAATTCACTCCATAATAACAGATATTTGTCATCGAATACCATGCCACTTTGTTGGGAAACATTGACACGAGGTCGAATGTTTGAGCAGCCGGACACGCCATTCCTTTCCTAATTTTCCTGTTCTTTTCTTAAATTTTATTCATCTCAAGCGAATTTCTTTTTTTCTCTCTTTAGGTCATTGCAAATGCCAGCAAAATTTTTGAAGACAAATTACAACATAGCCAACCAGGGAAAGTCTTTTCGTACTTGTTATACTGGGCTTTTCATTGGACAACTGTTAAGCTTGACTTCTTAAGTCTATTTGTATTGGAAATGTGTATTCATCTTTGTCTTTTTTGTCATTAATTTGTCTTTTACCTTTTCTAAGGAATAGAGTTTCTTGTTTTTAGTATTTTTACAAAAGTTTCTTTGTAAATTGTAACTAGGAAATCGGGAAATTTGAAAATTTCCAAAAAGATGTCAATAAAATTTCCATATTCTTTTGAAAACGTCTCGATATTTGTAGAATTCGTATTATTTTTTGACGGAGCTAGCAGGAAATGAACGTTTCACTGCTTCTTTTGCTTTAAGAATTGAAGATTGAAGAAGAAGAAGATTGAAAGAAAAAAGAAAGACTTTTTACACATGATATCTTAATATTGGCATCCGTCGTTTTTCTGTTGAATGCAAATTGCAATAGTCTATGGTTTTCCCACAAAAAATTACTCAAAAAGTTTAGATGAAATGTCCGTTTACCTTCGTCCACATAGCTGTATTCTTAGCTGGTATCTTGTCATGTATTTCGTTCTTTCAATATTCAAAAGAGTTCCCTCTATCTAAATATGTCTTCTCAGCGCCGATTTTACAAGTTTGTCATTGATTGTTTTTAAAAGAATCCAATCTGTTGCTTAAAATAAAGGGATTAAATCAATCACCCTAAAGTCGCGAGTATAAGTTCTGTTTGGTTTTCGCATGCAAATTGACGGCTGTCTCCGGTGCGGTGTGTCGAGGGTTCGAACCCCGCTGCAGCATAACTTTTTTGCTTTTTAAGAACAATAATAGAAGTAAATTTATTGAGGGTTATAGCAATTTTATGCTGTTATTTGTTGCTCCGGGCGTGGCTCGGCGCGTCCGCCCTGCTCCTCTCCGGTGCCCAGTCTTATGGATCCCTCCCTGGTCTCTTCATCCGGCCAAAGTCCACGTCGACGGTCGAAAGAGATGCTTTCCAGCGTCTTCTTCAACACTATCGTCTGGATGTATCCATGCACATAACAAATAGCAATGGTGATAGGCTGTCACCCTGTAGTATCCCGCGCTCCAAGAACAATAATAAAAGTTTATATAACAATAAAAATGTATAAAAACCCAACAAAAAGAAATTCAAAGCAATTAAAGCGAATGTAAATTAAGGCAGAACTTATACTCGGATGAACTTATACTCGAGACTTTAGGGTACAAACTGAACGCATAATCAATTGTAAAGTTTGTTGGTATTATGAATAAACTGTGATAATTTTCAGCCTAGCAAGAGATCTTTGAATCCCGTTCAGCCAAGCGAATCCAAAGTGAAAGAAAACCCAACAACTGATCAACCACAAAGCCCAAAGTTGCGACCAGAAGTGGAAAAATTCAAGAAATTTGCCGAAAAGCTACTCAAAGCCGAAGCGGATAGACAAAACGAAAAGTTGAAAGAACAAGAAGCGAAAGAAAATCTGCGGAAAGAAAAGGGTCCAGTTTCCTACAAAGCATATGTAAGCATGAGTTCGACAGCCGACAACTATTACCTTGGATCTCTTCCACTGGCTGCAATGGCTTGGATTCGATTGGGTGTACAGCGTGAGTTGTTGACTGAATACTTAAGTGCTAGATTCTCGAGAAAATCCTCGTTCCTATCAATAATCCAATTTTTATCTTCTTTCACTCTAAAGGCCCTCGCTCAGCTTTCCTTTTTTTCGTTATCTTGTTATATTATTTTTTAAAAAGCAAGACTTATTATCTTTTTTGAAAAACAGATTAAAAAATGCTGGAAAACTGCTCTTGAAAGTTTGTCTGTAATGTTTAATAATTTGGATTTATTGAGGTTGCAAAGCGAGGCCAATACTTTTGTTCATTTATTAGTCTGTTTAGAAAGTCTTTGCGTTTCTTCCCGTACTTCCATTTAAAACTAACAAATTCACCAATTGAACGACGATTTGTTTGATTAGAAAAGTCAATTTGCTCTTGAATTTGCTTGAAAGTGGACCTAAATTGACTTAAAAAGATGAAAATTGAACAATAAACACTATTGATTTAGAGAAAATGATAGATTAGATGCTGAATTTGTTAGTTTTTAACGAAAAAGATGAAAAGGATGAAAAGGATGAAAAGGATGAAAAGGAAAGGTATGAAAAGGAACGAAAAGACTTTCTGGACAATCTTTTAAGGAAAACTTTAAAAAAATTGAGAATTGAAGCAGTAAACAAATTGAACTTTAGCAATGGTCTGCTTGGTCGGCGATCCGAAAGAATATGAATCAAATCTGACAAGACCGAGCATAGAAATACTGAAGAAACTCAACACGACGATCACTTTTCTGCAAGGAAAGATCACTCTGAAGAAAGCTACAATAGCTCAAGTAAGTCAGAAAAGGAGAACTTAAAAAAATGTTTTAGCATTGCCGTCTTTATGCTGCGAACTCGCAACTTCCATTGCAACCGGAGGATGTGATAATCATTTCTGACTCTGATTACATACCGATTCACAAAGAAAGGCATTGGGCTGATGGAGTTGATGTGCGATTTGGCTTTCATTGTTTTTGCAAATATGTGTTGGGTTGTCCAGTTATGAATGCGCGTTTTTTACTATTTTGTAAATTTCTCAAGTAACCGAAATCAAGAAAAAGATATATATGAGTATTATTCGAAAGCTGTAGATCTCCTCTACATTTTGATATAAAAAGTTTTTGAATTTGTTCAGCTTTTGGGCAAATTGACTGCACAGAAGAAGAGGTGGCCAAAAAAATGGAAGGGTGCCTTTGGATCAAGTTTTGGCTCCGCTCAAATTGCGTTAACCGTTTGATGTTTGGCCAATAGATATATCAATACAACTTTTTTTAAAATATAACAATTTCAGAGCATCTTTACTTTTCTTTTCTTTTCTGGGCGGTTATTTTACACTATAAAACTTGAGGAATGAGCTGAAATGGGTTTTTTTTCGGCAACGACCTCTCCCTTTGTGCAGTCAATTTCCCAAAAAGTTGAATGAATTCAAAAACTTTTTTATTCCAAAATGTAGAGGAGATCTTCAGCTTTCGAATGATATATAACACTCATATACATCTGTTCGATATCTTGAGAAATTTACAAAATAGTAAAAACGCGCATTCATAACTGGACAACCCAATAGTTCAAAAGTCCAACTTTCTAGATAAATAAAACAAAAAAAATTAAGGCCAAAGCTGGACATTTTCCAAAGCATATTGTTTAGATTAGACAAAACTAGGCACAAGACTAGGACAAGACAAAACTAGGCACTTTTTTTCACGCAAGTTTGCATACAGCTTATCTATTAGAACTTTGATTGGTCTTTGTGACTTTTATCAACGCAAATTTACATATCTGAAATGTAAAATGTGCAAGTTTATCTGTGTAAATGAAGTAAAAGATCAGAAAAATTTACGTTTGCATTTCTTTGCATGAAAAAAAAGTCATAAAACTTTTTAAATTGTTTAAAATTGTTTAAATAAAATTTTAAATTGTTTGCTTTTCTAGTGATCTGCTCAGTTTTTGAAATTTATACACCAAAGTAAAAATAAAGTGTTTAGCTGATGCTCTATAATTCTCAATGCTGTGGTTATGAGAACCACCGCGGATCTCATTTCCCCCATCTCACTGTGCTTACAATGGGAATGACTGTCGCGACTTTTCGAGAAGTTTTGGGTAAATTATTGAATAAGCGATAAGAAAGTTCGTTTTTTTTTCAAAACTACTAAAACTATTGCTTTATTGGGATAAGTAGATTATCCTGTACTGTACTGGTGCTGAGATATTATTAGGTTGTTCGGATATAAGCAAGCGTTGCTAAACTTTTTGTTGTGAGAGAAGCTTTAAAAACATGTCTTTCTGTATTTAAAAGTACGTTATCTTGTGCATATTTGGAATATTTTTAAACGGATAATTTCTTATTTTTAAGATTTTTTTTCTTGCTTTAGATGACCGACTTCAAATATATCAAGTTTGCGTCTACTTTACTTATCAATAAGCCTACTTTACGACTTCAAACTGGGCAAAATAGTCGCGGAATCCCATCGAGATTTGGTCAAAGCCTTTGGGAATGATGTATAGTCCGAAAGCCGATGCCGAGCCTGGTTCCAACGCTTTCGGAATCGTGATGAAAGTCTCGAGGATGATGAACACTCTCGTCAAGAATTTCGTGTCTACCTCAAACGGTAGGCAACGATATTTTGAGGGCTGCGATCGAATCGGATCCATGTCAAACGACGCGTGAACTTGCTCAACAGTTTCTATGTTCAAATTCTACTATTGATGAGCATCTCCACACCATTGGAAAGACGATCAGATGCGGGAAATGGTTTCCTGACGAGTTAAGGCTTCCTCACGAGAAATGGCAAACGCTCGTTTATATCCGAAAAACCTAATAGAAGATCATTCAAAAAATTGCTAAAACTGGAGAATTTGTCTGCACCAGCGAAGCGAAGCATTGGTGAGGAAAATCTCATTTTCACGATCACTCAGTGACTTTGTTCCGCTCTTAAACCACTCAATTTTGGCTTCTTCTCTCCCATTTTGATCGTTTACTTAAAAATTCTGACAAATTCATACATACATCACAGAGAATAATAGGAAAAATTCAATAATTTAGCATTAAGGACGGAATAAAATGGCGAAATAAAAAGTAATTGCTTTGTGTTTGCTAACGATGGGAAATGCTAATTAGGTTCAATTTAATTACATCTAAAATGTTAATCTGTAGCATAGCTGGAAGCAGTGGACTAGACGAAGAGATGACTAGCTCAAAAATTGACTAACTCAAAGATTGACTAACTCAAAGATTTGCATAAGCTGAAAAATTTGCTTGTACCACTTTATCTTCAGGCACCTCCAAAGCTCGGTATGAGAATGCCACTTCCATTGAAGGAGATCTACTGAACTCGTTCGGAAAAGAAGGATTTGAGGAGGGTGAGTTTTTATTCCAGCTGTAATCTTTTCTAACAATTCAACTAATTCCAGCCTACAATCAAGCGAGAGACCTTGAACAGCTGCACAAACACCGAATGTGGTACTCGGATCAGATTTTGATCTCGTATCGGATTAATCAATGGAAACGAAAGTAAGGATCTATTATTTATAAAAGAGCAGGTATTTATCTATCAGGTAGTTATTTACCGCATTTATTCCAATTGAAGAGCTGGAGCTATACGAGCTGGAGTACGGAAGGCAGTGGATGGAGCATCCAAAATGCCTCTCGCCTACAAAAAAGCGTTTCTAGGGTTTTCGGGTACGCTGATTCGATTCGTGATATTTTCAAAACCTGTTTGGGACGTATTTCTGCTTGTTTTTCTATGTTTTCTTGTTCGCCTACATTTTCTCATTTTCTTTTTTAGATGATTGGAATAGCAGTAGCTAATAGGCTGGACCTTAAGTCGTTTAATCTTTTTACTGCGTGACCAAGGCTCAAAGCCAAGATCGAGATCTACAAAGTGTAAAGAGGAGAGTACTCCAACTAAAGTGTTCGATGATATACCTATGTGTACAGTACAGTTGAATATTCTGGGATTTTTATTGAAAACGTATATGGCAAATAAAAGTGAATTCCAACTTGGAACGACCGTTCCGAGTTGGAAACATTTAAGGTGCTAGGAAACATGACATAACATACATAGCACGAAGAAAACATAGAAAAACATGAAGAAATAAGGCGCAAACATGTTTTGAGAATATCACCAATCGAATCAGCGTACCCGAAAACCCTCGAAACGCTTTTTTGGCAAAACATCTATTTTTGAGCTCTTGAAAATTTGGATATGCTGTAGTTATTTACCGCATTTATTCCAATTGAAGAGCTGGAGCTATACGAGCTGGAGTACGGAAGGCAGTGGATGGAGCATCCAAAATGCCTCTGGCCTACAAAAAAGCGTTTCTAGGGTTTTCGGGTACGCTGATTTTCGCGGGAGATTGAGAAATAAAAGAGCAAATGTTTACTGTATTTAATTTCAAGTTATTTAGTAAACCGGGCGTGAGTCGAACTGGAGAATGGTCGTTGGTTGGAGCGAGATTGGACAGAATGTCTTGGCCTCGACCAGAAGAAGTCGAAAAAGTAAGTGCTCAAAGAGTTTCGAGAATAACTCATCAGCTTTTGCAAGGAATAAGTGCAACACGAAAAAGCCAGTCCAAGATTTATCAATGTCTTTTTGCAGATCAATGTCTCCACATACGGTGACATGCATTTGATGAGGCCAGCAATGAAGAAATGGCTTGACATTCGCCCTGTTTTCAAAAACCTCTTCTCACCCGAGTTTTACAAAATGGCTGACGATTATGGAGTGAAGCTGTTGGATTACCATTCACAAGATCTTGGGCCAAATCCTCAATCTTTTGTCTAAAGCTTGTCTGTTAGTACTTTTTGATACTTTTTTTTCAATTCACTATCAGACTTCTTACTTTTCGGTGCTGATAAATGTAAATTTTGCTTTGAATTTGAAGAGACGCGTTTATATACACAAAATTTCTTTGGGTAAAGTGAAGTTCCATTGATTTTCCCGGCGTACAGATTCAGCGTCGTTATAAGGCCAATCAAGGACCATCTAAAAGCGTGTTCATAGATGAAAGTTTCCCAATATTATCAAATTTTCAAATCTTTAACGTGTTTGGACATGACTAATAGTAGCTTTGATTAAAAGAAGCAAAAATACTTTGTCCCAATCCGGAGACTCTTGAAGAGCGTTGTAGAGTAGGATGTTCAGCATGCTTTGATCATATCTACAATATAAGTACCGTAAATATTTTAATAGAAAAGCTCTTTAGCGTCGGAGCGTCGAGTAGTCTAAGTTTACACTTAAAGAACCGCTCATATCTCGACACCAGTAGGTCTATTTCTGCACGCTTTGGTATTGAATTAAAGTAGTGAAAATGGGTAATTTTTTGATATAGAACATATATTTTTAGCATTAACCAGTGCTTAGAACAAAATGATTGAAAAATCGGCTTTTTTTGCCACTTTTCAATGCCTAATATGACCGGGTGCGACCGAAGTCTTTAGAAAAATCTATTTTCCAAACAACTTTACACAAGAAATGTTATGTATTGCATGCTGTTTGAAAGCTCGAATTCTCAGCTATATTAACTGACAAAGAGTCTTTTGATTGGAAAAACTTTCGGATCCTTAAGGAGACTCGGGAGGGGCGCACTGCGAACACCCATCGACGCGCTACTTTTTACTTTTTTACGCGCTACTTTTTCTTGGTTTAATTGGCAAAAAGAGTTCCAAAATGGATTGTTTTTAGTTGAATAACAAGTCTTCAACAAGTCTTCAACAAGTCTTTAACAAGTTTTAACAAGTCTATTAGTTCAGAACAAAACAAACTTGACGGAATAACGGCAACTTCTAGCTCAAAAAAAGTCTCCCGCTCTGCGTGAAGGCATTTTGTGGGAAAGGGAGGAAACTCGCGTATTGGTATTGCTTCAAAAATTGGTAACCATTTTTAACCTATCATTTTTGTGGAAAACTATCGACACTTAAATTAGCAACAAATGGTCTTGATAAACTATGCACAGGTTTGCCATTGAGTAAGGATTTTTCAGGGAGGATACTTATCTAGAACACCGACGGGTGTTTGCTGTGCGCCTCTCCCGAAGCGCCTTAAGTATCCGAAAGTTTTACTAATCAAAAAAACCCTTTGTGAGCTAATATAGCTGAGAAGCAGAGCTTTCAAATAGTATATAATACATAACATTTCTTGTGAAAAGTTTTTTGGAAAAATAGGTGTTTCTAAAGACTTGCTTTAGTAATTATGCCGCGCTCTGGATATTTTTATCTAAAAATAAAAATGACTTATATTTAGGTACAGTATAGCTTGTATGACGTTTGCAAGAAGTTTATAATCTTTGAATCACCTATGACAAGTGGTGATTCCTTTCGGGAAGTCGCATTCTCTGAATGAACCCACAGGACTGATACACTCATCAGTCATGGCGCAAAGCAAGGCCCTGGAAAAAACGTTGAACCATAGTTTCAGTTTAATCCAGATTTACCAAAATTCAGAAGTTATTACCAAATTTGCTAACCATTTTATAATCTGTGAACTAAACGCGCTCCTTTTCACCAAAATCGATCCACCAGCGAATTGGATTCGATCATTGAGCTCTTTTTGGATGGGCAGATAGCTATACATTCCTAAAATGTTAAATAGCTAACAACTGAACTCTTAAAGTTGATAAAAAGCAAAGTTTATTCTTGCCGAAATGTGTCAGCATCGTGTTGGTTTGTGGCGTGATGTGGGTGAGTGAAAAAGGGGCGATCTGGAAATTTTGATTAGTACAGGGCACTCAAACAATTGCCGGCACTCAAATTCACATTTACTTTGATCCCTAATCGAAATTCATTGTTTTCTAATAAAAGTGAGCTACAGTACTGGACAATGAAATATGATATTTGAAAAACGATCGTCACTTTCGCGCGTCTGTAACTCCCTTGCCTTTGAGCTTAAACTATTAGTGTTATACATTTTCTGAAAGCTCTTTTCAAGGGCTACACAATAGTAATATTAATATTTAGAAATACCGTATTTTCTGACGCATTTCAGCGCGCGCGAAAGTGACGATCGTTTTTCAAGTATGATATTTCGTTGTCCAGTACTGTAGATTTTGGAAATAATAAGTAAAAAGGAGTAAATGAAGCTGGTTTTCTTTGATTTTGAGACATTGAAACTAGTTAGAAAAACCAGAAAGTCGCGATTCCACCGCAGGAAACGCGTGTCGCAACTTTGTAGCGCTCTAGCAAAAGTTTAGAAAGTTTTCTGATCAAATCCAGAAAACACATTGCAGGAGAAATATTCAATTTGATAATAAAAAAAGAATTAGGTCGACTGATTGACTCATTGCTAAGCTGGAGAATCGGAACTGAGTGCGAGTAATTGTACGTCACCCTGTACAGTTATACAGAAAAGTTGTTGAAACCAAAAATATGAATTTAAAAGATAAACAAAGCATCGGATAAATAAGCATTGGATTAATCAGCATCGGATCAATAAGCATCGGATTAATCAGCAATAAGCAAAAGATAAACACAGCATCGGATTCGTGATGTTCGATAGGCGCTTGCATTTCAAAGAGGATGTGAGGCCGTTTGAAGGCCTCACATCCTATTTGGAACGTTCCCTTGTAAGAAAACAAGGGTGGAATTAGGTTCGAATTGGAATTTTCTCATTCTCTAGTACACACCGGGCCGTTCAGCTCACTTTGTTTACAAACCTTTTCAACATAAGAAGCCTCAATATAATCCAGAAAAGCGGACGAGTTGAACGGCCGCAGACTTGAGTCCATCAAATAGAAGAATTCATTCGTTTTGTAAACCTCCTGGAAAAGTTTAAAGTTTTAAATAAGCAAAAGCTTTGTTTACCCCAAGAATCGCCATCTTAAAAGCATAATTTTGTAGAATTTTCACATGTGGTGGATACTTTGCAAAGTCGAATTCCCTCACTGTGAGCAGACAAACTTTTGAAAGTTCACTTTTCTAAAAGTTTCTGATCGAAAGAGAAAAAACTTTACTACCTGACTATTCGTTAATCCCAAGGAATAGAAAATTATCGGAATTTTTGGATATTTGTATCTCCACAAATACAACATCATTTTTGTCTCAGGGAAATGGTCATCCGAAGCATAAGTGACAATTGTTAAGTTTTGCAAAGGATCCAGGGTCATGTTGGAAAGCTTAGAGTCTTCAATGTCTAAATTTGAACAATTATAGATTTAATTCAAGCTTCTCACCTTCAATGGCAAAGACATAATGTCCTAGGTGACATTTGAAAGCAAATCCTTTCATGAAGTACGTTTGATTGTTGATGCGAGCCAATGGACGGTAACAGAACTGTAAAGATAGAAGGAAATAAAGATTGCCTATAATAAGGATTGCCAAGTTATTACGTACGAAAAGGAACGAAAATACTTTCTGGATAGCCTAATAGTTAAAGTGGAACAATTAGATTGGTTTCTTAAACATAAATAATATGCTGAAAACGTGAAAACTTGCTTCATGCTTCCCGACAATCACACAAATCCTCGTGATTCTCGGTAAGGATTTGGTAAACGGTGAAGAAGTAGAAAGTGCCGAGGAATAATGCTCCCAATTTTGCTCCGGTCATCAAATTTATCATAGCTGTCAGTACTAGGAAATAGCTTTGAGAAACTATTGGTTATCGAATAAAATATTCAATGTATTTGTTTAGACTCACCAGGCTTGTTGTCTGTGATCGCGCTTGTATTGTGTCCGTTTGGGGTCTTGTTGAAACATCTGTTCACCCCGAGGGGATAGTTGGTACACTTCATGTCACCAACTTTATTAGAAACGCGGAAAAATGTGCAACTATTGAAAAATTTTCGTTTTCGACAAATTCGTTTTCGAATAAGAATGCCTGAGCAATTTCTTGGTGTATATCTAGGTCAAGATTTAACGGACAACAATTGGATTACTCAATTTGATTACCAGATTCCAAAATCGATAGCTTACCGTATTTTTCCTAATAGTATAACATGTCCAGAAGAGTGTCGCGTAGTCGTTTTTCCCGCAATTAATAAATTTTTTCTCGCGAGCCTTTGGACCATTTCCCAAAAATAGAGAAATGAGGTAGCCATTTTTTAGAAAAAACCCAAACAAAATCGGTCCAAAGGCTCGCGAGAAAAAATGATTTAGTGCGGAAAAAACAACGACTACGCGACGCTCCTCTGGGGATTTCATATTACAATGCGTTGCAAAATGATAGGACCACCCTTCCTGTTTGCGTTTTTTACTTTAAATAACTAAAAATTCAAAACGACGTTTAAATTCTAATTTTATATACAAAGTACGCAAAAATACCATTTACGAAATCATTTATTTTTTTAAAACCCACGAATTTTTAATCATTTCTTTGTTTGCACCTGTTGCAAAATGATAGAACCACGACGTTTCTTTTTCATTTTCTACCTGCGATAACCATTTTTGCTTGTTTTGCTTGTTCTTTGCTTTTTCAAACTAATTTTTATTTTTTAGGAAGATGGGGCGTGGAAAATCACTTTCGCGGGTCGAACCGATGAAAATTGCGATTTTGAAAGGAAGAAAGTTGTCAAATCGAAAGATCGCAAAGAAAATGAAGCGCTCGCACGAAGTTGTCGCCAATTTCTTGAAGGATCCTTTCAATTATGGCAAGAAGAAGTCTCCGGGACGGCATCGAAAGCTGACGCTGAACGGCATATTGGACGTCTGTTGTCGAATTCGGTGACGTCGCTACAGGAAGTCAAGGCAAAAATTAGAGCTCTCGTCCACAAAAGCACTCTTTCTCGAGTCATCAAGTGTATACCTTAGATCAAAAGAGCAGTCAGAAAGAAAGCACCAAAACTGAAGCTGGCGCACAAAGAAAAAAAGGAGATCTTGGGCTCGGGATCACATCACCATCGATTGGAGAAAAGTACACTTTTGCCTTGTGTTATTAACTATTTTTTTCCTTGTAGGTAATCTTCAGCGATCAGAAAACATTTAATTTGAATATTCCAGACGGTAACAAGTACTATTGGCACGATTTGAGGAAAGGACCCAATGCTTTGTGGATGTCGAAACTTCGGAGGAGGATCACTGATGGTATGGGCTGCCTTCAACGTGGATGACGTTCTTGATTTAGAAGTTGTGACTTGTCGCACGAACTCGAACGATTACCAGGACGTCCTTGCGAACCAACTGCTTCCCTTCCCAGCACAAAACCGAGGGAGAAACTACATTTTTCAACATGATAATGCTTCAATTCATGTCAGCCAATCCACCGAACCTTGCATGGAAAGTCACAGCATCGATTTTCTCGAATGGCCTGCCTGCTTACCGGACTTAAACACAATGGAAAACTTGTGGGGCATTCTTGTGAGGAATATTTATGCTAATGGGAAGACTTTGGACATTTCGCAATTCAAAAGAGCCATTTTGCAAGCTTGTACGTCAATTCCACCATAAACGCTTCAAAACTTGGGGACTCGATGAAAAATCGACTATTGGACAAAAAAAGGGAGCCTCTATTGATTATTAATGAATTTCGTTGCTGTTTTTATTTGTTTGTTTCAAGTTTATTTTCGGATTTATTGTTATTTTTTTATGTGGCTCTATCATTTTGCAAGAGGTGTTGAAAGAGAAATCGTTATAACTTTGTCGCCATTTATTCAACAAAATTATAATGCGCCGAACGGCATATTGGAAGTCTGTTGTCGAATTCTGTCTATTTTTGTATATTTTTCTAGCATTTGAAAGCTATTTAGCGTTATTAAGTTTCATAGCCAAGAAATGATAAAATTTAGGGGTGATCCTATCATTTTGCGACGCACCTTATTAGGAAAAATACGGTAAGTCTATTTAGTTATTAGTGATATTCTTAAATTCCGAAATTCCAGCAAAATTTCCTTGTCTCTGCGCGAGAAATCCCCAACAATGAAAGCTTGGATAAACAAATCAAAGAGGAAAAGGATTGTCGAATTTTTCGTTAAGCGGTTTTTCACTGTCCAAAAAATTGTTCATTCATGCAATTTTATTTTATTTGATGACAGAAAAATCAAAAATTCTACAAGCTGTTCGAGCACAAGCCATCTTATTCGTTCTCATCTTTCATTTGAGACCAAATTTTCTGCCCAATGGATATCTTGGTGTTGATATGTGAGTTAATACAATAGTTTGGGGTGCCACCCGCTTTAACCCTATCCACGAGGATGATTCTGCTTAAGAATGGCCGAATAGCACAAAAGATTAAAAAGGGTTTCCCCAAAAGCGCTTATAACGTAACAAGAACACGTAGTATCCAACAATAGATTAATACTCTTGAGAAGAGTACGGATCGGTTGATACTCGTCGATGGTGACACAAATGTTAGTAAACCAGTCTCTCACAATGTTAAACCAGTTATCTAAGCAGGATTTAAAACCTGAAGGGTAGCTTAAAGCAAAGTGAATTTATAATGTTACTGTTTATTAGTACAGAACCGAAATGCAACAATAACCATTACAAAAACAGCATGCGCATCAAAATGAAACAACAAAGTCCCCAAGAGGGAGCAAAACCCGCAGACAAAAAAATAATTTCGGGAAGGGGAAAAGGGCGAAAAATGCGACGCGAATAATTGCAAAATAGCAACGCAAATAGGAAGGAAACGGACGCGTAAGGAAACGGACGCGTAAGGAAACGGACGCGTAAGGAAACGGACGCGTAAGGAAACGGACGCGTAAGGAAACGGACGCGTAAGGACCCAATAAAGTCAATAACATTAAATGATGAAAGTTTGATTTGTTAGATAAAAAGCTTTTATTAGGTTCTTTGTTCTTTCTGGATACTTGATCACAAAAATCTTGTCGATTTCGGCACTTGATAAGCAATCTGTGGATGTGAGATTGTTCTATGAGAAACGCATCAAACGGATTATACCCCTTTACATGTAGCTTTTTAAAAAAAATAGTTAAAAATAATATCTTTAGGATTACTGTAGTTTTAATTTTGCTATTTGGGATCTTGATCTTACTAGATGATGATTTAAAATCATTGAAAAGTGATTCTCTCTGGGGATTATTCTATGTGAGTAATATGAAAGATCTCTTCGAGAAGACCGACTATTTCACACAAGTAAGTTCAAATGTATTGATAAATAAATACTTGTAAATTGTCAACTGAAGTTGCTTTCAAGCTCACCTTGTTCAAGCCATTCACCCACACATGGTCACTTGCTACGGAGCTTCATTTTTATCTCTTCGCTCCCTTATGCATGAAGTGCTATCTGAACACTTCAAAGCAAACAAGAGCTTTATTTTCAATATCCGTTTTTTTAGCTTCAATTTACCTTTTTCAGGTATTCTTTACAGTAAGCATTCAATTATTCACTTGAATTATTCAATTATTCAATTTAGATCCTAGATAGAACCATGTATTTTGGTTTTCTTCCTTGTCGAATCTGGCAATTCATGATCGGGCTTTTTGTGTACGAGTTTGAGATAAACTCAAAGGTTTCTCAAAAATTTATGATCTTTCATGATCTTGATCATTATGGTAATGCTCATTATGATCTCAGAAAATCTTTCAGATACAGAGTGCGCCAAAAGTTCTGTCACCTCCCTAAAGTTGATCAAAGCTCAAAAGCTGAATTTTGTTTCAGCTCAATGAAGAATATCATAGAAAATAGTAGAACTTTTAAAGTATCTAGTTGCGAGGTTCAATGGCATAGGTTTCTGCAAAAAGTTATGAGAGCTAGAAAATTTAGTACCCTATTTATTAGGTATATGCATAAGAACTGCGGATTTCAACATTTTCATAAATTTCCAACGATAGAAACCTGATATCGATGAATGTTATACACTATTTGAAAGTTGTAAATCTCCTCTACAAAATAGGCTAAAACGTGTTTCAAATGATCAAACCATTGAAGAGATTTCGAGGGCGAAATGCGAGTGACCAAAAAAGGAATCGAGTCACTTTAGGGACAAGTTTAGTGTGGTCAAAATAGAGTTAGCTTCCCAAAATTGAAGATTTAAAAAAAAGGATAACTATATATCAATTCGTTGAAAAAGTCTAAGGTGTGAGGTGACAGAACTTTTGACACATCCTGTATTTTAGACACCAGAACAGTCAAAGAACAACAGCCAGAATGAAAGCTTTTACGTGTTTGGTTGTTATCTGATATTTTTAGCGCTTTTTCTTATGGCCAAATATTCATTTGTAGTTCTAAAGGTGGAGTTTTGCAAGACTGGCTAAAAGTTCAGCATTTACTTCAATATTCTAGATTCAACCGTTTTTAATAACTTTATTGACTGGGCTGCTCATATTCTGTTCAACACAAACAAGTAAGTCCAGTTCATATCATTCATTCATTGGGCACATTCTTTGTTCAGGTCTTTCTCCGGCAATCGATTCACCTCCCATTCAATATCTAGGAGATGTCTCTTACTCATTATACCTCATTCACTGGCCCGTCATTGTTTATTATAAATATTGGTTCTTTATTGACGAATACAATGTATATGGTGAACAATGCTTTCAGCATTGTTTCAGCTCTAACTTCAATTCAATTCAGATCTTATCATTGTACTTCTAATCATTTTTCTCGTGACGATCCTCGTTCACCACACACTCGAAAAGTGGTTTATCAAAGAAAAATTCATAGCATCACTGTGTGCAATTGGTGAGTTTATAAATAATCAAGCGAACTGGTGAACTATTAGGTGTATGCTATATGGCATTCTTTGCACTTTACTTCTTACCAGGAGATTTCAATGGGAAAACTCTAACATCGTTGTTTTATCAGTTTCGAAAAAATGATGATGGTTCAATGTCTGCAAGTTTTTAAATCATTCCTACAAATCTTACCTACTGTTGTAGGATGTCAACAATTATCTGAAAAAGTTGCGTTTCCTGACCTTGATTATCTCGAGGAGCCCTATCGAGAGATGCGTGGAAAAACGGTATTGATTTTGAGCTGAAAACTTGAAGATTAGTTTTGTCTTGAAAACATCAAACTAAAACATTTCATTGATGAAGAACAAACTGAAGCATTTCAGTGATTAAGCATTTCATTGATTAAAGCATTTCATTTCATTTTTTATTGACTACAAATTTCCGATTAAAGTCAGGTAATGGAACCTACAATGTTTTGCTTCTTGGGAACTCCTTTATGAGGCTCGCCTTTCCTCAAATATTCAAGGCTCTTGATGGAAGATTCAAATCAATGGAAGTTATCACAAGATCTGGTACTGCTAATTGATTAGTCGAAAATTTCCAAATTCAGCTTGTTATCCATTCCTTAATCATTCCACGGTTGGGGATACTGGAAAGTTTTATGAGCATTGCGATGAATCTTTGAAGACCACACTTGAACTGGTCAAGGAGTTCAAACCAAGACTCATAATAATATCGATTGGGTAAAATTATCTCATAATAATAGCGATTGGGTAAAATGGGTGGGCCATAATTACGTCCTCGATGGTGTCACTTATAAAACCGATACTTCCTCGTGTTTTGCTAACTAAGCAAAAGCATTTTTGTTTTTCTCTTCAATGCGTCTTGTTTTAAACTTTTTACAATATAAAAATATTACAATTGTATTACAATTGTTTTTAGAATGGCCAAATAATTGTCCAGGGTGGGCCATAATTTCGCCCGCTTCATCGCTCTTCGATCATCGATCTTCATCGAAAGGGATTTAAGACACGGGAGATAAAGGATCGTCTGGGAACAAACCCAAGCCTTCTCAACCATTCGACGTTTTAAAGAGTTGGGAAACAAAAATGATCGAAAGAGCCGGGGAAGAAAGCGATCGGTGACAATTGAACCCAACATCAAGAAAGTGAGAGAAAGAATCCGCCGTAACCCTGCGCGCTTCGTTCGTCAAATGACACGTGAGATGGGAACTAAAAGGTCCTCCCTGCGTCAAATCATTAAAAAACACTTGAAGCTCAAACGGGCTGTTCTAGGTTGCCAGAGTTAAACTTCTATGAAAGTTCCAGAAAATTGTTAAAGTATGCCATACTGTACCCTGATACCATACTGTGCAATAATGCTTCAATTCAAATCGGATACAACAGATACGCGTTTCTATTAGGTTGGTGAGCTGAAAACTGCGGGACTTTGAAATAAAATTTATTCAACATAGAACCCAATTCATTTCAAATAATTTCCATTATTATTGACGACTTCTGCCCATTTTACAGGCAATTTGCGGATTCCACTTTCGTAGTAGGATTTTGGTTTGTGTGTGAGACAAGTGTGAGACTCAAAAATGGAGGACGGCAGATGTCTCAGTTTGAGCGCCTTCTTCAAAAGAAACCCATTTTGGCGTCAATAGAAAAGTTGTAGAGAATCAAAAATTAGGCTGATAGCCAAATTTCCAAAAAGATACACTTAGTAGTTTCGCTTAAAATGCAAGTTTTGTGAAAATTTGTAAATTTGGCATTTCTTGAAAATCAGTTTTTGAATCGTTCTGAAATTTGGATATAAGCTTAATTTTTGATTCTCTACAACTTTTCCATTGACATCAAATGGTTTTCTTTTGAAGAAAGTGCTCAAACTGTCACATATGACAATAGCCGGCAGTTTTCAATTCACCAACCCAATATTTCAAATGTTATTCCTTTCAAAATTGACTATTCTGGAATTTTTTTTGGGTTTTTCACCTTAATTACTCCGAGAACTTAATTATGACCCACCCTGTACACTTTGCAAAACCTTTCAATTCTAATGTTTTAGATACATCGCTGGTTTTAAAGAATTTCCTTTCAATGTAACTCGGGATCGATTTGTAGAAAATTCTCTAGAGAATCTGGCAAAATATAGGTAACCAATAGAAATTTATCTAAATCAAACAAGTTGCAGCAATTTTACTGACTATATTCTTATTGATTTACCAGTCTACCGAGTTAATGCAAGTGTAGCTGAAAGAACCACTCGAATGGAAAAGCTTGGGATCAGAATGAGCGATTGTCGAAATGATGTGACCTATTCGGTTCAAGTAAATTGAAATCGCGAAAAAATGAGACAATTCTTTTAGGACTATTTACTAGAGTTTCAACAAGCAATTTTGAGACTAGATGAAATAAAAAAGCTCTGTAAAATGTGTCATTTCATTGAGCTTCAATCTGTTTTTTGTCAAGGAGCTCAGTGCTCGATCTACGAAGATGAATGTCAAAGGTAAGTTTGGAGAGGAAAAATATGATTTCTTTGTTTCAAGAAACCTTTACTACGTAGAACGAGAACTACGAGAGCTTTTATAATTTTAACAACTTTTAAAACTCCTTAAACTCTAGGTCCTACTATCAAGAAGATGGACTTCATCTATCAGATTTCGGACGAAATCTCCTCCTTTTAAACTACAAGGCAAAAATTGACAATATCTATAAACTGCTGGACGGCTAGATTTAAAATGTAATTTTGACATAAAGAAACAAAATGCTGGATTTAAGTTTATTTAAAACATGTTATTATTCCTTCAAAGTTCAAAGTCAAAGCTTTTCTTCAAGCATCGAAGCAATATTGAAGCTTGCCTTGAGTGAAGCAGCCAAAGCCCGGTGGACAAACTCCACCAATAGCCGCTGAAAATTGATTTTCAAATTGATCAAGATCAAGTACTGTCATATAATTGCATAAAGACCTATTTCTTTACTCAGAAGTCTGAAAAACTTACGTCCGATGGCCGCCTGCTTTCCATTGTATTGAGGACAAGTTGCCATCATAGCTCCCTGAAAATTTGATCTTCTTTGAAAGATTTAATTGGAAAAAATGTGTTTGATCTTAAATGGCCTTTTTGGAAAGGTTCTTTATGTTGCTGCCTGCTTGGATATGTTGCCATGTTCTGATTGCAAATTCTGATAAGTGAAACTTTGCAAACGTTGTCTACAAACTTTAAAAACAGTCAAACAGTCAAGTCAACTTTGTCACTTTGACCGTTAAATTGAGA